AGAAAGGGTCTAGCTATAAGTAGTTCAAGCTGGCCTTCCGCCTCAGCCTCCCCAGTGCTGGGATTACAGGCAGGCACTACAACACCAAGCTTCTTCTATTTCTATTCTATTCCATGGATGCACATGCCACGTGTTTTTAATCATGTTTTATACTATGTCCTCAAGCCTGGATTAGGATGCTACCTGCTTTGCTTTTTTTTAATCCTGAATTGCTTTTGCTCTTCTTGGTCTTTTCTGGTTCAATATAAATTTTCTAAAGAAAGACTTTTAATCATCTGTTTTAAGAGAGACCTAAAACAGGTATGTATAACCTACTGCCTATCTTTTGTCCTCTAATTTTTTTTTTTGAATGAAGAACTGTCTTGGGACATTTATAAAATACTTAATAAGAGATAACTATATTAACTGTTTATATAGAGATAAATATATTAACTATATATAGTTAATATTTATAAATAATGAAATTTTCTTCACTTTTATTATAACATTAAAAAAAAGGTGGGCTGCAGATTGGACATGGCTAGTTACTATGAGAAACTGTAAGGAACTAAAACAAAACAAAACAAAATAGAATTATGTCTCACTAGAGATTATCAGAAAGTGACAGAATTTATAAAAGCTAAATAGAAATCCTGAACCTGACAAGTACAATAACCTAAATGAGATTCAACAGAAGATTTGGACAGGCAAAATAATCAGTACACTTAAAGATGTGTCAGTTAAAGTTATCCTGTTTGGATTTTATTCAAATCTGCTATGATTGATAGTACCAAGTTTGAGAGTATAGGCAACTACACTGAAGATAACAAGACTCACTAGGATACCTGTTCTGGTTTGATTATTACCTGCTTTTGAAGTTTTACACTGTCTAAAATGTTTTGTTTTTATTAATATTATTATGTACTGCTATATTCAATTATACTATGCGTGATGATACGGACAATTCTATTGAAGATAACAAGAGACAACACAGTAACCATTGTAGAACTCCTTGTATTATAGTTTTATATGACTTTTTCATTTCATATTTTTATAGGAATTTGTTTTGTTTTGTCTTGCTTTGTTTTGTTTTTCCCTTTAATATAGAAAGGATAGAAATACATGGAGAGACTCATGCATGCGTAGAATCTATAAACAATTTGTGAGAACTGATCATGTAACACATGATGAAATGAACAACTACTTTAAAGAAAAAGAGACACTACAGTACCCAGTGTTAATCCCAGAGTGTCATGATATGAAATCCAGCAATATTATTCTTTGTTCAGAGTGATTTTAGCCTGTTTTGTTTTGTTTAATCTTAATATACATGAAGGTATGGACAGCTATTTTGAAGAGAATGAGAGACATTATGATAGCCATTGTTGACATCCCTATTGTCTGATCTTGAAGTCCTAAAACACCTTCCTCATCTTATTCAGATCAGTTTTATACTATGTTATTTCATGTGAATTCTCTGTATGTGAAGATATGGACAACTATTTGGAAGAAAACAAGAGACAATATGATAGTGAACATCTCTTGATTGTCTTGCTTTGAAATTTGTCTCTTACATTGCTTTTTTATGTTCTGGTTAGTTGTATTTAATTTTATCCTCTTTAAAATAAAAATTAATCCTGTCTGAGGAGAAGAAAAATAAAATGAATAAAGAAAAATGATTCTATGACATCGCTAAGATACCACTAAGTAAATCACCATAGGTATAATGGGAATTGTAGGAAGGAAAAGAGAGAAAGTAGTGGAAAGAACATCTGAGAAAACAGTAAGCAGAAACTTCCCAAATTTTATGAAAGATATTTAAAAAACTATTAAAAGAAAGTTCTCTATATAACAAATATCCTTCAAAAATTAAAAAGGTAAAGATATTTCTAGATAAACAAAAGCTTATCACTAGCTCTGCCATATAAGAAATGCTAAAGGGAGTCACTTAGGTTGAAAGGGGACTAGACAATAACTTGAAGTTATACAAGGAATGGGGCTAGGGATTTAGCTCAGCGGCATAAGTGCCTGCCTTGCAGGTAGGCAGTTGTGAGTTCGATCCCCAGTACCAATAAAAACGAAAAAGACAAAAAAAGAAAAAAGTTATACAAGGAAACAAACAAAAATACCAATACAAATAAATATATAGGTAAATGTTGAAAATCTAGTATTAAGTACTCTGAAAGGCTGAAGCAGGTATATTGCAAGTTTGAGCCCAATCTGCACAAACTAGTGAGACCATGAATCAAAATAAAAAATAAAAAGGACTGAGGATGTAGCTCAATGTAAAGGTTCTGGATTCAATTGCCAGTAGAGAAGAAACAAAACAAAACACAGTATTATTATAATCTAAACCAAACCTCTCTTTTTAATTATAAACGTATGTCAATGGGCATATAAACATGGCAAAAACATCACAAACTGGGTTGGAGGTATATATACAGTAGTTTTTGTTACTACTGAAGCTAAGTTAACAATAGTGGCTAAATTAGAACTAATTCAAACTAAGTGGTCACAAAGTTAAGATTCATTGTAATTTTTAGGGTAGCTACTAAGGAAGTAATGAGGACTGTGAATGCAGCTCAGTGGTAGGACACTTTCCTAGCATGTGGTGTGAGGCCCTGAGTTCAATTCCTAGCAATGTACCAAACCTCCAAACAATCAAACTAAAACTAAAAAGCAAACAATACCCAAAGGAGACTTTAGTCTCAAATTCATTATACTCCTGGTGCTCTGGGATGAGTTTACATTAGGAAGTAAGGCTGTGTAGGACTGCTTTAGTCTGGAACACAATTTGGAAGGAATATCTTTTCGTTGTTGTTGTACTAGGAAATGAACACAGGGCCTTCACACTGAGCTAAACCTCTGGCTCTTTTTATTCTGAGAGAGGGTCTCACTAAGCAGTATAGGCCATCTTCAACCTTGTGACTCTCCTGCCTTAGTTTCCCAAAAAGTTAGGCTGCTACAGAAAGATAAGAAGCATTTAATGACTTTATTAGTCTTTGTATCTTTTCCCCAGTATGGAAAAGCAAAAATCTGTTACACAGTTAGACATTTTTACCATATCCAATTCTGAAAAACTTGAAAGCAAACAATGTGTGTGTGCATATACATATATATATATATATATATATATATATAATATATATTCTCATATTCTATGTAGCCCAGACTGGCCTCAAACTTGCAATGATCTTCCTGCCTTATCCTCCCTAGTACTGGAATTACAGGCATGCACTACCATACCCAGTTAAAATACTTTTTAATATACAAATTTTGTTTTGGTTATGAGCATGACGACTTCTTTACAACCTTGAGCAATAGGAGCTGGTATGTAGAGTGGCAGAGTGTATGCTTACCACAGATGACACTTTGGGTTCAATCACAGCACCAAAACAAAACAGAAACAAACAGAAAAAAAAAATACCACTTGATACCATAATCTTAAGTGACATAAATTGGACACATGTGTAAACACTGCCGTGGTTCTTTGTTGTGAGAAACCAAAAGTGTAAATGGGACCAAAATGTATAATAGGTATTGTGAAATAGGAAGAGAATGTTCAAAGGGGGAAAGGAACAAAAGAGGGGGAAAGAAGGGAAAAATTTTTTAAAAAATGAGAAAAGAAGCCAGGCATGATGGTGTACTCCTGTAATCCCAGCTCTTGAGAGGCTGAGGCAGGCAGATTGTTGCAAATTCAAGACCAGCCTAGGCTACAAAGTGAGCCTGAGGCTAGCCTGAACCACATAGTGAGACCCCATCTCAAAAAGACCCCCCCCAAAAAAAAAGAGAAAGAGAAAAGAAGGAAAACATGGAAACAAAGCTTTTGTAAATGGGGAGAGGAGCAGGGGTTGAAGGAAGGGCAGGGGAATGAGAAAAAAACAAGTTATACCATGTACAGGTACAATTCTCTATGATGACCAAATTCTCTACGACGAATGTGATCATTATGTATATCTGAAATGTAACAATAAAATCTGATTGAGAAAAATAAAAAACCATGAGCCATCAATGTAAAGCTTGTGACCAGTAATTATTGTTTTTTTTTTTTTTTGGTACCAGGGATCGAACTCACGACCTTATGCTTTCCAGGCAGGTGCTTATACTACTGAGCTAACTCTCTGGCCCTGACCAGTAATTATTTAGGAAACCATTCCAAAAGATGCAAAGAGTAGCTGAGGTAAGTAAGCCTTAAAGGTAACTGAGCCAGAAGAATTAACAGCTGAAAAAAATATTGGCATAATACTTGATATATATGACTAGAGCCAAGAGACAGAATGTCACAGTGAATACTCACAGGATGAGGAAAAGAAAACAAAACAAGAGTCTGAAGCAGGGACTACAGTAACACCAGGGTTAAGACACTAAGAGAGATTGAATCTTTTGACTGTGCTCTCCATTTTCCACCTTGTTTTTATAGCATAGTCTCCACTCTGCAGCAACAATGATTTGTTCCTTTGTCAGCTCACACCTCCATTCTACTCAAACCTCCTCCCTAAACTCCACATTCAACTATTGTACTGTCTATAGGACCCACTACCATGACTGGGTGCCCAACCCCTTCAGAGTGCTCATTCCCTACCACTCCTACTGCTCTGTTTCCATAACCCAACTTTCATTATTATCTTGGACATGACTTGATATTCTACCGTAAGGCTTTTGCTGTGCCTAAGAGTACAACTTCCAGCAGTCCAATGGTTTTCCGATGTATTTCAGGACTCTACTAGCATGCAATGTAACACAGGGTTTCTGCTGATCACCCACCTTGCATCAAATTATACTTAGTCCCCTTACTCTGCTTTATTTTCATTGGTAACCTCTGTTACCACCTCTGTTCTGTACCTTTGTTTTTAAATTTACTTACCAGATCCTCAGCTTCTACTCCCACATAAGTCTTTAAGAGAGCAGAGTCTGGTTTGTTCACAACTTTAACCCTAACATCTAGAAGCATCCTAGCACATTAATATTCAATCAATTTTTATGGAATGACTGTGATTAAATGAAAAAGCATAAACACCTACCCAAAATACATGTCATAGGGCAAGTTTCTTCCAGGTTACTCAGAAACACTTCTTTTTTGTAGAACATTTTTGTGGGCTCATGCTCTGTCTCTTCTGGATGAATGAAGATGGGACCATAAAAATATGCAGCTCCATCTCGGACCCATACTTTTTCAATTCTTGGGGGGAGGGGATGGAGAGATAAGGTTACAATAGTATCATTTTTGAAGGATTACTCTAATGAAAAGTCTCTTAACTATAATAATATATACCATTTAGAGGAGTTTCACTGGGTGTTTTGATAATGAGACAATTTCATTTGTTTCCCTCTTTTTCAAGCACATGAGAAGATGCTTGGAAAAAGAACATATGGCAACTCACCTGAGAGAAAAAAATTTTTATCATGGCACCAAAGCATATAATTTAACAGTGTTTCTGACTCCCAGGTTTTCTGTCATAAGACTTATGAATCCAAATAAAGACACAAATTTTCAATATGAGCTGGGCATAGTGGTGCATATCTGTAATCCCAGCACTCTGGAGGCTGAGGGATGAGAATCACGAGTTCAAGGCCAACCTGGTATATATAGTGAGTTCAAAGCCGGCCTAGACCCTTTCTCAAAAACACTTCAATATGTAGGGTAAGATCACACAACTGGCAGACATGCCTTTAACAAAGGAAAGGTTGGTAATCCTTTTGCAGTGCAAGATCTAAAGCCCCTTATCTCCTGAGAGTTTGATGGAAGTCAGAGACTATCTTCCTATTAAAAAAAAATTAACATGTCTGCTATGTGCCAGATACTATACTATTTCCCACTACCAATGCATAAAGTTAATGTTATTGCCCCATATTTTCCTGGTTCCTGACATGAAATAGCATCCTTATTTCACTTAATAGTAACTTCAAGGCTGGGGATTTAGCTCAGTAAGTGCCTGCCTGGCAAGTATGAAGTTGTGAATTTGATCCCAGTATTCTCCCCCGCAAAAAAAGTAACTTCAACCTTTCAATTCTCCTGGCCCATAAACAGGAGTCATTCTTTACTGCCCTCAGACCCATATCTCATTTATTAAGACACTATGAACATGGTCTTCAAAATAGTAGCCTTTGCCATCATGTGGTCTGAGCAACCATCACTCATGCCCTGATTATAGTAATAGCTTTTTAGCAAATCTTCTTCCTTCTATCCATGACCCTTTACAGTCTACTCTCAATAATCAGAAGGCAGAGCAATTCTGTTAACACCTACCTCAAATGTCACTTCTGTACCTGAAACAACCCAAAGACACCATTTAATTTTGTAAAAGTCTAAGTACCCACATGATCTGTACACTATCCTCTGCCTTTAACTCCAACCTACCTCACACACCCTCTGCTAGTAAAACACTGCTGGTCTGAACAGGCCTGATACACCTCCTTTTCAGACCTTTGCACTGACTATTCACTCTGCCTAGGTTACTTTTCCTATGGATACTCACAATTCTTACCCTCTCAGTTAAGTGTGAGCTTAACTGCTCAGTGAGCTGTGTAATGCAGACTGTCCTCCTGTCTCCTACCATGCCTGATTCCCTTTACCCTGCTTTCAGCTTTTTCAACAGCATGTATCACAATGTAACAGATTGTAACTTTACTTACTCAATGTTTGTCTTCCCACTAGAAAAAAGCTCCACAGTATTAAAAGTATTTGTCTCTTTTACTCACTAACATATCCTCAGAGCCTAGCAAATAGTAGCTATAATAAAGGTCTACTGAAGTAGAATAAATCTGATGAGAATAAACCCACAGAGGTAAATCATTTGCCTAAGGATATGCAACTAGCAGAGCTGGGAATATAATCAAGATCTCCTGGAACCAACTACTGTTATTTTATTGTATGTTTGTTTTTTCATAGTGCTGTGGGTAGTACTTAGGACCTCTTTGATTTGCTAGAAAAGTACTTTACAATAAACTGCATCATCAGCTCCCAAATGCTGCTCTAAATCACTGTCCTTTCCAGCCCAATCCAGTACCTGACTCCTTCACTGATGTTTCTTTCCCCAATACTAGGGAATGAACCCAGGTCCTTTGCATTGAGCTATGTCCTCAGTCCTTTTTTAAGTTTTTATTTTCATTAAGGTCTCATTAAGTTGCTGAATTGCCCAGGCCATGTTTGAATTTATAATTTCTTGCTTCAGCCACTCGAAGTTGTGGGATTACATGAGTATGCCACCACTCTTGACTTGTCGTCCAACTATACTTTTATCCTTTCATCAATTTACTTGCTCATTAAATATATAAGCCTCTACCATGTTTCATGCACTATGATTTGAGCAGGGTATACAAAATTCAGCAAAAAGAGCTAATTTCAGGGCATGTGGAAAAGCCAGGGATAGAAACTTGACAATATAATAAATACCAATGTATGGTATATACTCTAAGGAGAAGGAAATGCATGGTTCTCTAGGAGTAGAGACCTAACCCAGTCTGCAGGGTAAGGAAAGATTTCTTCTAGGAAGTTACCATTTCAAATGTAAGCTAAGCAGTTTACAGTACAAAATGGGAAGGGAGATTCCAGAGCTGAGAAATCTGCTAGTGTTAAGAGAAGAAAAAACTAAGAGCCAATGAATGAATTTTTTTTTTTTTTTTAGGTTTTTAATTTTTCAGACAGGATCTTGCTGTGTAGTTTAGGCTGGCCTTGAACTCATGGCAATCTGACTGTTGGGATTTACAGGTATGTGTCACTACATCTGGCAAATGGATGAATGTAAAGAAAGTGGTTAGAAGGAAAAGCAGGGGAAGTATGGTTTGAAAAGAAGCTGGAGAATTTTCCAGAAAAGGGACTTCTGTCTTAGTATCCTAAGAGATGAATGTCTACTGGCTCCCAATCTCAAGACCCAACTTTATCTTCCCTACCATAGGGACAGACAACTCACCTCCCAACACGAGGGCGCACCAGACCATGGGACTTGATGAAGACACAGTCTCCAACTTTTAACCACATGTCATTGTAATGGAGCTGCTCAAAGTAGTGACAACCTGGCTCTCCATTGGACATTTCCACAGGGACATCTTCTTTATCCTACAGTAAAAGAAATGGTGGAAGAAGGACAGCTAACAATCAAGGAGTAGACAGAAAAAAAAAAGCAGACTTTCCTTCACATTAACTTAAAAGAAAAGTCTACCATAAATGGCCTTACCAAACACTGTAATTATTTTAAATTTCTAGATATTTTTCATAAAATAATGTTATTCTAAAATGCCTTTATCAACTCCCTATTCTTCCTTCCCATTCCTATGGCTGTTAGGAAAAACTACTGGAAACAACATTACCATTCAGAAGCAGACAAATTCACACACTGTTATGGAGTATAAGAAGTAAACTTTTCATAGGTTTTCCCTTTACTGTATTTACTGAGCTTCCTAATTCCACCCACCCATCTATCCATCCATCCATCTGGTTAACTGGTTGGTTTTTTGAGACAGGGTCTCACTATGTAGCGCAGACTAGCTTTGAACTCTCAATGTTTCACCTCAGCCTCCCAAGTTCTGGAATTATAGGCATGTTCCACCAAACCCCCCCCCCTTTTTTTTTTTTTTTTTTTTGTCTTTTTGAGACACGGTCTCACCATGCAGTTCTGGCTGGTCTTGAGTTCACTTTGTAGCCCAGGCTGGTCTTAAACTTGCAATGATTCTCCTGCAGGCTAGGACTACAAGTATGCACCAACACACCCGGCTTCTCTTGTTTTTAAATCTCTTTATAAACTCAGTCCAGTCAGTATCTTTGAGTAGCAAAGTTCATTTACTGCACACTCAGGAAAGCAATACAGTAGTTCTTTCTGTCCTCTATAGGAACGTGAAATTAAACAACTCGTAGCTCAACCTGTCTTTATAATCTACTCCTGTGGGTGACATGAAAAAGAATTTCTCTCTCCCTTTCTATCTCTCTAGCTTTAATCACTGATTATATCTAGTGAAATGAGAAGTCAGGGAATCCCCTGGGTCAGGGAAGCCATTGATCAGCACAACAGAAATGAAAGTAAAGACTCGCTACTTATACCACAGTAGCACCTAGAAGCAAGTAGAAGTAGCTACACCAAGTAGAAAGGAGGTGAGCATATAAATTCCAGGAGGCAGGTCAGAGTAATGGAATGAGGTAACCTCCGACTGAAAGCCACTTCCCTCCAAGCCATCTCCACATCCCTTAGAAGGCACGTGAGAGTAGGCCTAATGTGAGAGGTGCAAAGCCCTGGGAACCCACACTGTCCAGACAGTGAGAGGAAGGTAGGTCCATGTCAGAAGCTTCCTCACCCTCCGGACTCCTCCCTCTGATTCTCTGCTTCCACAGAGGAACTATGGCTTTTGCTCACTCATCCCTGGGCAATGTAGCTTCCCTATCTATATACAAGAAAGGGAGCAGGAAGAAAGTTAAGCTAGGTATTTGGTGCTCCCTCTCACCTTCTACCACACCCTCATTTCATAACATTGGAACAATCAATAGATCTTATATTTTTATTATCTTAATTTATTCCAACCTGGAAATCGCCTTGGTGACATAAACACATACTCTGCTTTTGAATAAATTTGAGTTTGTCACCTACTATCTGATGTGAAATTAGGCAAGATATTTAACTTTCATTTCTTAGTTTTTGCATTTGTTATATGAGAATGAACTAGGAGTGATGGCATATGCCTGGAATTTCAGCATTTGGGAGGCTTAGGTAAGGAGGACTGCCACAAATTTGAGGACAGCCTGGTTACACAATGAATTCAAGGCCAGTCTGAAGTACACAGCAACAACTTGTCTCAAGAAGAAAAAATGATGATGATAATGTGGCCATGATATGGGTTTCACAAAGCTTAAATACAGATATAATGTATGTGTAACTATTAACTATAGAGAACTATTAATAATTTCAACAATCCGTGCATTCCTAGAATGAACTCTTCCTTTTTGGTCATGTGTTCTAAAAGAAATTATTTTATTTCTCTTATAAATACACCTTTCCAAACTGGGAATGGTGGCACGCAACTATAATCCCAGTACTCAGGAGGCTGAGGCAGCAAGATCGCTGTAAGTTCAAGGCCAGTTTGGGCTACATAATGAGTTTAAAAAGCCAACCAGAATTGCACAGCAAGAAGACCCTGTCTCAAAAAATAAATAAATACACCTTTCCACTCAAGTAATTTTCATATCAATATTTGTGAGCCTGAGCTCTAGCTTTTGCCAGGCTATGAAATCCACATTATCTGTTTTTTTATAAAATCAACTGAGAAATTTTCCTTGTCCTCTATGGCCTGAGACAATTCACCCATAGATGCTCAATACTGTTTTGAGGGTAGTTCTTTTTTTTTTTTTAAATCGGTACCAGAGATTGAACTCACGACCGCCTGCTTGCAAGGCAGGTGCTTATGCTGCTGAGCTAAATCCCCAGCCCCGAGGGTAGTTCTTTGACCATTTTAAAATTTTTTCATGTTGTCTACTTATGTGCTATATCTCTTCTTCATTTTGATAATTTGTAATATACTAGAAAATCATTCTGTAAGTTTTACAATTAACAAAAATATATACTCTGAATTTCTTCCATTTTTCTGTATCTGAACTTAACTCTGCCATCCCCTTTCCCCCTCTATTAAGATAGTTATAGTTGGGGGCTGGGGATTTAGCTCAGCAGCATAAGCACCTGCCTTGTAAGCAGGCAGTCATGAGTTCCATCCCTGGTACCGATAAAAAGGAAAAAGACCAAAATAAATAAATAAATAAATAAAATAAAATAAAAATAGCTGTAGTTCATTTTATTAGACTTCTCATATGATCAGCTCTTGGATTCACTTTTATTTTTATCTATATTTATTTTTCCTGCTAGGAACTTAATCAGTGTCTTAAGCAGGCCAGGCAAATGCTCTACTACTGACCCATGTCCTCAGTTCTGGGATTTACTTTTAAATTCTATTGTACTGTCTTCTACACATTATTATTCTTTTTCTTTGTCTTCTAGTTTCTTCTCTGTGGCTAAAATGATTTATTTAATTTACTTATTTTGTTCATTTTATATTTCATATTTTATTTTATATTGTTGATATTTTCCTGAGTTTTACTGTTCTCTGGAATGGATTATTTTCAAATGTAAAATTTTTTCTGTGTGACTATTATCTATATACCTTTTCCAAGTTAAAACTGTCTTCAGCTCGACTGTCCTCTGAGTTGTCTGTATTCTTCTCATCATCCCCTTTATCTGCATTTGCAAATACAGATGCCACTCGGACTACAGGCAGGGGCACATCCCGAGGAACAAACCTAACTGAGCTAATGGGCATGGTCCACAGTTTAATTTTCTTAAAAGATTTAGTTTTGGCAGAATAACGTGATTCACAAACAAAAACATCCTCATCGCGAAAGTTTTCTGGGCATAATTTGAAGTATTCCTGGGGAGAAAAGAACAAAACAAGTCAGGTAAATTTTCTAAAAATCAATCAACCCCTGCACCCCCGAAAAAGCAAATACCAACCAATCAACCAAAGGTTAAACTGTTAGGACTTTCTGGCAATAAACAGTAAATGGTGAGATCTAGGATACTGTCTACAGATAGATTTATTAAATATATACCTTTTAACTTATGAACAACATTTCACTCACCAATGACCTTTGAAAATGTTAGTAGTTATAATCTTCCTTAAAGCTTTTGACAGGGTTTATGTGTCTATATTGGCAGATAAAACATATACCTTATCACCTGAAGACCAATTAATAATTTAACATGTTCCCATCACCTTGAACCACTGGTGATGCATGCATGACTCTTCCACTGGGCGGCATGAGTCACCAGTGATACATGCATGACTGTCTCATCAGGCAGCTTGAAACACTTGTACAAATGGATCTAATACTTTTTTATCACTCTTTTTACTAATAACATTAAACCAGAGTTGCCCAGCAGATACAAGAATTAATCAGAAAGGCCTGGTAGCAAGACATACAAATTATAGCTCCATTATGAACATGTGAAAATCTTTCAGAAAACACTGTTAAAAATCAGTGCTTGGGGCCAGGGATTTAGCTCAGCAGCATAAGTGTTTGCCTTGCAAGCATGCAGTCATGAGTTCAATCCCTGGTACCGACAAAAAAAAAAAAAAAAATCAGCTTGGCTTGGGACCAAGGATATAACGCAGTAGCACAGTGCCTGTCTGGCAAGCGAGCACAAAGTCCTGAGTTCGATTTTCAGTTCCCTCCTCCCCCACAAAAAATTAGCCTCGCTAAACCAGGCATGGTAGTATATGCCTGGAGTTCTAGCATTCTAGGAAGACGAGGCAGGAGGACTGCAAGTTCAAGCCCAGCCTGGGTAACTGCTGGGGATTGATTAGACCCCTGGATATGTGGTGGTGGTGGGGTGGGGAATGGCAGGCAGGGAATAAAGAAAGACAAAAGATACTATTCGAGGTTTAAGGGGATCTGGTCTCTTGTGGACTGGCTCTCTGGTAACTCATTTTTATTACTTAGAAGATCAGGGGGTTAATACTGTACTTTTCTTGGAACAGATGATTGTTCCATGAAGGAATAATAAAATGGGGATCAAGTTTAGCTTTATCAAATGGAGCAAATTAAGTGCCTGAATGCCTATTCAGCAGATACTATCTCGTCTTAGGAAGCTGTGAATATAAGTCTTCCAACACATCCAAAAAGCACGCAGCTATCTGCAAACTCTTCTGTCCCTGAGGCAAGTCTCTAAGCTGGGACCACACACAGTCTCATCCCTAACACAGTACACTATTCACATCCTCATATCCCCAACAAGGAAATTTCATGAGCTCCTAGCTTAAAATAAAAAACAAAGGGCTGGGCATATAGCTCAGTGCAAAAGTTCTGGGTTCAATCTCGGCAACACAAATACATCACACATACAAACAAAAGAGGTCTAGCAATGTAAGTTAAATAGTAGAAACAACAAATGGTCTTTCAAAACAATATTCAGGTTAATTTCTTCCCAAATTTATACTGTTACACAGGAGCAGTTTAAAACAAACTTGTTGATTTTATAAATACTACTAGTTTTCATGTTTTTAAGTCTTATTCCCACAAAATGATTGGTATTTTGGCATTCACGAGTTTCTTACCTTGACAAACATGACCACACATTTGCCTAGAATTTTACTAACAGGAATTTTATTGTAATAGTCACTCTTAAAAACTTCTTTTTCAAGAAATTTTCGTGTAGCCAGGTGGAATGTTTCATTTGGCCGATAAAACCAACAGCCATATAACCATTTTTCACCTCAAAAACAGACAGAAAGAGAAAATCATCATTAAGAGAAACTACCTACTCTTTGTAAACTTAGGAAATATTCTACTATCCATGGTATGAACTATCATAGCATTTTTTAGATTCTTAGCATAATTATCTTAGAATAAATAATATAAGGAGGTCCTCTTATAGTAAAAGAGATATGAGAGAGGAAGGTGCTGAGACTTGCTCTGGTCAAATCATATGTAGAGCTCTGTACTTTAGTAATGACTAGATACACTGAAGAACATACTTAGCACTCAGGAGGATAATCCAAAAGTTTCACATGATGGGCAGCTAAAAGAACTGGACTGCCTAGACTACATTTCCAATAGCCTGCTTGTGGCTGTACAAACTTCTATTTTTTTTTTTTCAAGGAGGTCTTTCTGACAAATTCTAAGTGAGGACACTCGTCTCTGCATAATAATTTCTTTCTTATTTGTGATTCACTACTGGAGCGGTTTTGCTGAGGGAAACGAGCTTTGTGTTCCAAATCTGTGCCATCCTCCAGAGTTTGGCTCAAAGTATCTTTTAATAAGCATCAGAAAATAAATGAATCCAAAAATAAATAAATAAATAAAAATAAAATAAAAAAAAAGAAAATAAATGAATCCAAATTAGATTTTAAAAAGTTGTAATTCTAACTCAATTATGACATAATCCAATACTGCAAGATTCTGTTTTTCATACTGTTGGTGCTTAATTGTATCTGTTAGTACACTAAGCAATTTTATTTATTGATGCAACGGATCAATTGCTGTTGGTATAAAATACCTCTGTTAAACTTGTCCTCCCTGGGGAGCAAGTACAATAGCCACATCCTACCAATGTGCCCTTAGATTTAAAAGAAATTTACCAGCTGAATCCTCCCATAGCCTCTCAATACAGACTATGTGTGGCTGTAGGTTGGCTTCTGCAGGTTCTACATAGACATAGTCTCCAACATGGTACATGCTGTTCTTAAAGCTGCAGTCTTGGCTGTATGTGCGATGTAAGCCTGATAGGGTTGCAGCACCTGAAGAATCTTCACTCTTTTCAGCTTCTTAGGTTAAAAAGAGAAAAAAAGTACTCACTAGGAATGTTGGCATCACCTGGAGGGTCCAAACACTACATATTAATACATTTAATTATTTTTGTGACATTCGAAGGATGGAGTCAGAAAGGACACTTTTGACATTCTTAATAGTCTCAACTCAAAATCGCCTTTTCTTTTGTTTTCAAATGGAATCTATGTTGCCGAGGCTCGTCGAACTTACAGGCTTAAGTGATCCTCTTGCCTCAGTCTCCGAAGTAGCTGGAACTACAAACATGCACCACCACCCCTGACCTCAAAACTGTATGAATTATAATCAATTGCCATTAACATACAAAGATTCTATAGAATAATTATTTTAATAATATATGCTCAGTCATTTTTAGTAAATCAGAAAAGCATAAAGAAAATAAGTCACATATAAATCATGTAATCCTAGATAAAATCTGATGTACACTCTCTCCATCCTGTTTCTGTAAATATGAATATCGATGGACTATGAACCATATGTATGTGCCTTTATACTTCATTACTATGAACATTTTCCCTGAGGTGAAACGTTTTTCAACAAGACTTTAATGATTTCACTACAAGTTATCATTTGCATATACCATAGTTTTCCTTTTTCCCCCCTTTTTGTGGTACTGGGGGTTAAACACATGGCTTTTGAACTCAGTTTTATTCTAGGTCTTTTTTTATTTTGTCCAAGATCGACCGGAACTTGCAGTCCTTCCTCAGCCTCCCAGACTGCTGGGATCATATATATGTACCACCATGCCCAACTACTTTTTTTTTTTGGATAATGCTTTGCCAACATTTTGATAATTTCATTAAGATAACATCTCATAAATGCAACAACTTGAAATAAGCAATTTAAATGTTTTATAAATGGATATTTCAGATTATTCTCCAAAAGGTTACATCAGTTTAAATTCTTCACTGTCTAAGTTTTTTTGGGTCAATTTTGGTAGAAAATGTTACCTAGGAATTGACTACTCTGGCAAATTCCTGTGACATACAAAGCATATTCACAACATTCTTGAGAATTTCATATCATCAGAAATAGTCAACTGGACTAAAAGGGATAGACAAAGTACAAAATTAAAAAACGCTATCTGACACCCCAAGTTCCAGAGACAAGAAACAAGGTAATAACACAACTCCTGTAGCCCAGGATGAACTTTCATGAATTCAGAGGACTCCAAGGGCTGAGTATTGAGTACAGAGGACAGTTCCTGGATCAAGAAATCCAAAGCTTGATTTCTAAATTGCTCAGAATAGAAACAGTTCAATCTTTCTCTTTTCAAACAGTAGTATTCACCCGTTATTCTATGCATCTCTCACTATATTTTAAGAGCAGACAATTTGTTTGTATTTTACTAGTTCACAGATTAATAGTGTTTTGGGATGGACTGTGCCCAGAGGCTTACCTACCCACCTACTTTAGAAGATTTACAACATGGGTATCCAACCTTTTGGTTTGCCTAGGAAGCAGTGAGTGAAGAGAAATTAACCTGGGCCATGAATAAAATGCATAATATAGTTAACATATAGAAGCATGAAAACTAATTATTTATAAAGCAACATGAAGCCAAGTTTAATAAAAAAAAGGAAGCTTACATGTCTGCTTTACAATAAATGCTGACGTTCAGAAGCACATGTTTAAATAGGTTGAAAAACTGTTAATGGCAATCCCCATTTTACTTACCAAATCTCAGAAACACATGTGGTTGCCTAATATACTTAAGTTTCAATTTAACTTTGTGCACAGGGAACAGGAGGAAAAGCAAGCACTGCACTACACCCTTTGCTATGCAGAGTCCAATGCAGTGCACACTTGAATACATCACAAACAAGACAAAAGAAAAATCACATAATATTGTTACAAGTTTATAATCCTGTGGGGTAGCATTACTAGCTGTTATAGCTTGCATCTAGATATTCCCCAAAAGCTTCATGCAATCATGGCAGGGAGGGCTTTTTAGAGGTGGCTGGATCTAGAGTGTGTGGTGCTGGGATCAAGTTTGTGATTAGTAAATCGGTCCACTGCATTGTTGCATTGTTCTGCTACACCCACCTTAGGGAAGATAGCCTACATAAAATATAAAAGCAGACAGAGGGATAATCTATTTTTGCCTACCTGCTTGGCCTAGACTATTTCTCCTCTATGATGTCCCTCTGCCATGCAATGCTAGCTTAAAGCCAGCCAACTATGAACTGAAACATCTACAAACTGTGAGCCAAATAAACCTTTCCACCAATAACTTTGGGGGTCAGGTATTTTGGGTCAGCAACAAAAAGAAACTAAGACATTAGCTAACCAGAGCCTAAATGTAGCCTACAAACCTACAGGCTGAACACAGCTAACTTAGATGGTGAGATCTGGGACTTCCGAACTGAGGATATTTAGATGAGACTGTGGTGGCTATCAGAAGAGCACTGTTATAACTATAACTTAAAATATATGGGACTGGAATTCTGTGATGACTAGAAGAAACTGGAAAAATTTTGAAAAACATGATAGAAAAGCTTATATTGTCTTGAACAGATTGACAGTAGAAAAAAATGGACATTAATGACTTAGCAGCTGAATGCTTAAATGACAATTATGAACCTGTATTTGGAAACGGGAGAAAAAGGAATCTTTATATCGTGGCAGAAAGCTTACTAGAATTCTGTCCCAAAATTACTGGATTGTGAGCCTCTGGGGCTGCCTTTTTTATTTGTTTATCTATACACACACATTTATTTATGGATATTTGACACAGGATCTTGCAATGCAGTGCAGGCTGGCCTTTAACTCACTATGTAGCAAAGGCTGTTGTTAAAATCAGGGCAATCCTCCTGCTCAGTCTTCTGAGCACTGGGATTATAGGCATGTTTCACCACGCCTGCTTGAGCTGCTTTTTTGGTCACCTCTTTTTTTATTTTTAGTTTCTGGTAGCTTTCTACTTCATATCCCAATTTTTCTCTGAATGCTTTCTTTCTACTATGATATTTTGAAAACAGCTTTGTTGAGACACAATCCACACAATGTCTAATTCACCTTTTTAAAATATGTAATTCAATGAATTTTGGTATCTGTTTTTTTAAGTGGTTAAAAAAATAACAAACTTTCTATTCCGATCACTTCTAACAGTACAAATCAGTGGCACTGATTACATTTCAATGTTATCCAAGCATAATCACTATTTCCAAAACTTTTATTTCAAACAGAATGTATACTCATTAAACAATTAATTCCTTCATAACTGCAATCATATTTGTCCTTTTCTGACTTATCTTTTTTTTTTTTTTTTTGGTATGTTTGACACAGGATCTTGTAATGTAGTTCATGCGGGCCTTTAGCTCACTTTGTAGCCCAGGCTGATCTCCAACTTTTGAAATGATCGATCCTCCTGCCTCAGCCTCCCGGAGTGCTGGAACTATAGGTGTGTGCCACCACATCCAGCTCATAGTTATATTTTCAAGGGGTCCATCCATGTAGCATGTATACTACATTTCTTTTATAGCTGAATATTCCACTGAATGAACATATTAAAATTTGTTCATTAATCTGTTGATAAGACACAGGACATTTCTGCCCTTTGGCTATTATGAAAAATGCTTCCATGGACATGGGTATATAAATACTTCTTCTAAGTCCCTGTTTTTAATTCCTTTGCAATATATACTTAGGAGTAGAACTGGTGGACCATGTGGTGATTCAGTTTTTTGAGGAACTACCAAATCATGTTCCGTAAGACTTTATCACTTTATATTCCCATTAACAATGTATTGAGTCTCTGATTTCTCTGTATCCTCACCAACACTAATTTTCCTTTTTTAAACAATAGCCATCTTAAATAACATGTAAGTGGTATCTCATCACAGTTTTAATTTGCATTTTTCTCAAGATACGCAGCTTATAATTTTTTTTTGTAGCTTATTTTTATGTGCTTCCTGGTCAGCTGTATAATTTCTTTGGAGAAATATCTTCAAATCTTAGGTCCATTTTTAATTGAATGCTCTGTTTATGTTGGATTGGAGCTTTTTATGTGTTTTGGATATTAGACTTATTGTACTGTATATATGATTTGTAACTTTTTCTCATTCACCACCCAGTCACATTGTGAGCAAATAGTCTTTAAGTTAGTAGAAGAGATTACAGAGATGCTCTGGCCGTCTCAAGGCTACTCTACAATGTAGGGCTCTTTCCTCTATTCAGCAAAGTCCCCATGCTCATAAAATATGTACAGTGATAAGCAAGGAATAAAATTTCCTACTCTATTTCTATGTGTGGCCCTGCTTTTCTCTAATAGTTCTTATTCACTCATTAAGACAACCACAATATTTTCTGGTAATTTAGGATCAATCAAAGACAGTGATGAATAGGTTTAAAAAATGTTACGCCTTTTCTCCTAAATACATGCTATTTACATTTCATATTTTGAGGAAAAGTATCAGCTAAACTTAAAAAATGATTCTAATTATACAAAATTTCACAGGTAGAAACAACATGAGTGATTCCAAGTAACACACAATCAATATATGATTAGCATTTTCTGCTTTGTCTCTCATGTCTTCTAATTTCTATTTCCTCCTTTCTACTTACTCTGGGGTTCATTTGGTCTACTTTTAATGATCTTAGATCTTTCTTTCTAATCTGTTTATCTCATAAATTTACTGGTTTTTTTCATTTCAAGATTTTACTTATTGCTCCATGTCTTCTTTATTAATGGACAATTTACAAGTACACTAATTTCTGGGCAGGGAAATGGCATTCCTAGATTTGTCACTGATTTCTAACCTAATTTCACACTGCATGCATTCAGAGAAAAAATTTAGTATAATCTGAATCCTTTTTTGAGATGGGAGTGGGGAGGTGACTGAAACCAAGGTCTTCTAACCAGTAGCAAGCTACATCCCTTTTTAATCTTATAGAAATAGGCTTCACTAGCTTGTCTGGCTATCTTCAAACCTGAAATCCTCCCCCCCCCCCCCACCTTCTTGAACAGCTGTTCAAGTGGGCTTGGCTATAAAACCAAGCCTTTTCTTTGATAACTTGTTTTATTACCCAACATATGGCCTATCCCAGATAATATTCCATGTATGTGCCCCAGCACGGTAACACATATCTGTAATTCCAGCACTTGGGAGGAGGATCATCGCGAGTTTGAGGTCAGACTGGGTTATATAGTGAGTGCAAGGTCAGCCTGAACTACATAGTGAGGCCCTGTCTCAAAAAATCCATAATTCCACGTATGCTTCAATAAACATATATTCACAGTTACTTAGTACAATGATACATCCGATCAAGCTAGTTCACAGTGCTACTGAGGTCTATGTCTACTGATTTTTGGTCTGGCTGTTCTATCAATTACTAAGGAAAAAGTATTGAGAGTATACTTGTTCAATTGCCTGTTCCTCCATTTAATAGTCATTTTTTCCTTTGTATTATTTTGATGGTTTATGACATCTGTGTATTTTTATGAGTATTCTATGTTCTAAAAATGTTGACCCTTTTTTCCTTAGGAAACATCATTGTTAACATTGCTTTTCCTCTTAAAATTTACTTTGTGTGGTATTAATCCAGCTAATCCAACTTGCTATGGTTACAGTTTGCATGGAGTTGTTCTTTACCTTTTAACTTTGTCTTTCTCTTACAAAAAGTGTAAATGAATCTTACTTTTAAAATTCAGAATGACAGTCAATTCTAATTGTAAAGCATAGTCTTTTTAAGTAAAATGTAGTCACTGATGGCACTGAATTTATTCATGTCTGATATTTTGCTATTTGTTCCATATATGATTTGTTATCTTTTTGTCCTTTTCCTCTTTCCCAATCTTTTTTTTTTTTTCGGGGAAGGAAGGGCTGCGATGGGGCCTTGCTAAGTAGTTAAAGGTGGTCTCAAACTCACAGCGATCCTCCTGCCTCAATCTCTCCAGTGTTGGGATTACAAGAATGTACCACCACGTCCCTTTTTAAAGTTTAAAGTCACTTTTTTTCCCATAAAAAATCTGAATATAATCTAGAATGTAGGCTAATATTTTTCTATTCCATCTACCACCCTTAACCTACTCTTCTCTCCCCAACTCTCTTCTTCTTGTCCAACAGTCTTTTACTTTTATGTCCTTTTATTGATTCCTTAAGAGTCCATATTTAGTGAAAACATGCGATATTTGTCTTCCAATTTCCAGTCACCATCTTCAATAAGAATATTCCCTCAGGTAGCAAAGCCCATTGATTTTGCAGTTAGCCCTATGCTGGTCAAGTTACTATTGTTACCAAATAGGCCTTCCTCTTTGGTTCTGGGGATTGAACTCAGGGTCTCAGATATGCTAGACAGCTGCTCGACTAGTGAGCCACATCCTCAACCCTTTTTAAAAATCTTACTATGCAAGGCTGGGGATTTAGCTCAGTGATGTAAGCACTTGCCTGGCAAGCACGAGGTCATGAGTTCGATCTCTGGTATGAAAAAGTTGTTTTGTTTTGTTTTTACTATGACACAGAGTTTTGCTAAATTGCCCACTCTGTTCTTGAAGTTGTGATCTTCAGCCTCAGCCTCCCATATAGCTGGGATTACAGGTGCACACTACTCTTTCTCTTCTTTTTTGGGTACATCACCACTCAGTACAATTTACTTCAAACATACGTTTTCCTGCTCTGAGGACAAGGTTTGATGTGAAAGACTAATATAACTTTTGGAAAGTCATATATTGTTTCTTTATGTAACTCAAGTATTATTAGAAATTATTGAATTTGTTTCCATTATCAAAGTATCTGTAAGCTATGGCAAGCGACTGGAAGTAATAGTTTTAGATTAACATAATTAAAATAAATCTTTTTTCCTAGGTATATGGCTCAATTAAAGTCTTCTTGTCTGGCCCAGAGAAGCTAACAGAAAAGCCATGCTACTGAAATGGCAGATAGTCAATGTATTCCATGTTGAGAATGTATTGTACCCTCAGTTGTGGGTTGCTTTGTTTTCATCTACCAACAATATGAAGAAGCATTAGACACCCGTATTTGTGAACTGACATTCCTGTAATATGAACTGTATCACTTTTAATCTTATCTGGTCTGATGACCAAACTGATAATGATAAGAAACATTTCCGTCATATAAGTCCAATATGAAATGCATTATCACCCTAAATCTTTATTAAAAAGGACTCTTCTCCAGAACATAGTATTTTTTCACGTTTCATACAATGAAAAGAAACCAACCTCGTTTTTCTTCTTCACGTTTTAGTTTATCTTCTTCTATTTCTTTTGGTAATTTTTCCTTTTTTTCTTTCTCCACATCATTATGCAAATGTTTTGTGGTATAGCTGAGTGCTGGAGAAAGAAGAATCTCTCCATTTTTGCAGAGTTCATCACGAATTTTAATAAAAAACTGCTGAAGTTCTACAGCATCCTCATATATTTCGGAATCTGTCCTATAATGGCATCAAAAGTATCCATTATCATAAACTGCTTTTTAAAAACATTTCAATTATATGTAAAATTCTATTCTATTACTATGCTAATTGCTATAACAATATTCCATTAGAATTCTAATAAGGATATCCCTGAGGTTTGTTAGAGAAGACTCTAATGTGTCACTACCAAGCGGGGACCTCCTGCCCACCGGTTTTTCTCCAAAGGCTGCCTGTTTAGTCACATATAAGCAAAAGCTTCAGCACTTTTTCTGAGATATGCAGCACATACATCAATCATGAATGAACACTGTCACTGTCAGAGTCGCGGACTATATCGTGGCTCCAGGCAAAGTCCAAAATTATATTCGTTTAATTTCAGAAGAACGTATTCTTTTTGGTCCTGCATCAGATTTACCAGGATTGGTAGGATTAAACTAAACTGCGAAGCCACGAGGACATTCTATAATGGCTATAAACCTGAGAATTACTATAAATTTTAGTTTCTCAGAAGTAACTGTAATTCTAAGAAACACAAGAGACAACCTTGTGAGAGAAAATATTATTTGTATCATATTTGGAACCTTTCTAACCCTCTTTCCTCATTTGTAAAGTAAGACGATGGGGGCAAAATATACTTGTAATTCTATTAACTAAGAAGATAAATGTCTAAAAAGTTATTCCTAAAACTAATCACAACAAATGTCTCATCAGCAATCATGGAGACACTTTGGTCAGGAGAGTGTGGCAAGGGAAGCAAGTCCAGTGTGATGTCTGCTGACACATGTCACTAGAGTAACAGACTTGGCAAGGCTTTCAAATGCCTCTCCTCATCAGCAAAGCAAGTGGCAAATACTTAAAAGTCAGTGCTAATAACCTAAACGGTTACTTTTGGAAAAGTTTTAAACGTGTTGTAAAATCACAGGAATGTGAATACTTGTAAGAATAAAATAATAAAAACAAAGGCAAGGGAAGAAGCCACAAAGTAAGACACTATCTTGATGCCTGTTTTCCTGAACAGATATAACTGCAGACTTTTCTTAAAATTGTTCATTTTGTAATAGCTTACAATTTTCAATGTAAACTTTTAACTGGAAACACACATTTAACAAATCTGTTACTCTGAAAAGGCAGATTAACAATTCTATCATATCATTTGGTTTAGTAATGAAGGTTTGTACAAGTCACTAAACACCTGATACACTTATATCATTGTGCTTTATCCAAAGTATCATAAAAATTTACTACTCTGACAAAAGACTAGGTGTTCACTGAAGGTACAAAAACCAAATCTTAAAATGGAAAAAGAACTTTTTCTTTCAATTGGTAATAATCATTTTATTTATTTAAGACAGGGTCTTGCTATACCATTCAGGTTGGTCTGGAACTTGCAATGATCCTCCTGCCTCAGCTTTCCAAGTGCTAGGATTACAAGGGAGTGCCACCATGCCCGGTTTAGATAACCTTTTTTTATAAAGGGTGACATTCAGTGAATAGAAATGATGGAAAAGGCTACTGATACTTTTGTTGTTCTTGGCTTCCCATGAATGAGCAATTTCTCTTTTAATTTTTTCCTTTTTTTTTTTTTTTAATCTATTACCTATCTACCTACCTCTTTCTTTTTGGTGGTCATACATGCTAGGCAAGAATCCCCCCCACTAAGCTATATTCCTAGGCCTTTAAAATTTTTTATTTTGTGACAAGGTCATACTAGACTTCAAAGACTGGCCTGGAACTTGTGACTCTCTTGCCTCTGCATATTAAATAGCTAGCATTATAAGTGTGCACCACTATGGTCACTCTATGGATGTTGGTGTAGCTGACTGATTGCAGTACTGGATATTAAATGCAGGGCCTTGACACTGAGGTATGTCCCCAGCCCTGTTTTATTTTTTGAGAAAAGGCCTACCTCACTACGTTGCCCAAACACAAAATACTACCTTCATTCACAAAAAAAGAATAGCTTTCCTTCTGTTTTTCAGCAAAGTTCTGGGCATGACAAAGAAAGTGTATCTGTAGCAGAGTCTTATATAAATGCACCCTAGGCTCTATTTTCCTAGGCTCTCAAAAGCAAAAACCAATGGGGGAATGAAAAGAACTCATCATCCAGAGGTACAAATCCACTTACTCCTTAAAATAAATGCTACATTAAATAGAACAATTTAAGAGACAAATGCTATTTGCAAGACTCACAGAAGCCCAGAGGTGATGGAGTTGGGGATAAAGGGTAAAACAGAGCTATTTCATTTATTTTTGTTTTGTTGAGACAATGTCTTGCTACATAGTTCAGGCTGATCTTGAATTCACTATGTAATGTAGCTGGCCTCAAACTCACTGATTATCCTGCCTCAGCCTCTCAAATGTTGGGATTACAGTTGTGTACCATCACGCCCACCTCAAAATGGCTTTACACCTAAGAACTATTTAAAGAATAAAAATGGAAATTTAAATTCCACGAAAGCAGGAGCTTATATTTGTTCCAGTGGTGTATCCCATGGATCTAGAATATGTTAATTACCTGGCAAGCACCCAGTAAAAACCTGTTGAATAAAAACCTCCTACAGATTTTGACAACATGCCACCTTTCTTTCTCTATTTTTATTGCTACTGGCAAAATATTAAGAACTGTTTCTTAAATATGGCACTCGAAGGCCTCTTCTATTTGACCTCATCTCAATCTCTCAAATGTATCCTACTCATCTCTTATTTAAAATATCCTCACCTCTATTCATTTGAATCCTACCCATTCTCCTATTCCCTGATGCCTCTTGCCTTTTTAGGTGAACTTAAGCCTACAGAGTTCCTTATACCAATATTTTTTCTAAATCAGGTTGTGATATGTTGTCTTATCTCTGGAACTATTTTTTCCTTAAGCATAAATTCTGTCCCATCCTTCAGATTTTGAGTTCTCAGAGCACAGAGCGCAAGGATTATCCATGGATGTGCTCTATGATGGTGATGATCAGCAGCAGCCCTCTACAGAGGGAAGGAAACAGGACAAGCCACAATGCCTACTAGATGTGGCTTTGGGTGACTTCTTCCTATTCCTCCATTCTTCACATACAAACTGGTAAGATTACCATTTGCCTAGAAAAGCTACTATATATTTTATAAAGAGCATGTGATCAACAGGAAGAGTAAGTGTTACTACTTATTTTTTTTTTTGAAGTTCCGAGCAAATGCCAGCTTTACATATTCTCACTTTGCTTAAAGGTGTAGCCCTTAAACCATAAAACTATAAGGTCTAGAAAAATAGGATTTGTATCTTTAACTTTTTTGTACTTTCTAGAGCACAGAGGATACACAATAATTGCTCTATTGGGATCTAACAACTGAGTATACTATGGATATATGACAAATATTTACCACAGAGTAAAATTAAAAGGAATTTAAATTTTATATAAATTTAAAATGTATCTTTCAGAATATTTTTAATTTTTAAAAAATGATTAAAAATGTTTGTGTGTATTGTGTTGGAGACTGAACCCTGAGAATTGTGCATGCTAGGCAAGTGCTTTACCCTTCTACTGCATTCCCAGCCCTTCTGTCCGAACATTTAATGTCTATAGCAAGTTTTTCTGTTTTATTTTGTTTTGGTGCTGGGGATTGAACTCACGACCTTGTGTTTGCCATGCAGGCACTTATACCACTGAGCTACACCTGCTACAGCAAGTTCTTAAAGTGAAAAATTTGAAATGAAAAAGACACCATTTCAGATGTATGAATGATGGCCAAATTTGTATCAGTGTGATCTCAGAGCAATAACCTAGAGCTGTTTATTTAAAGCACTATCAGACTGAAGTCAGACTTTGAAAGAAAAATCCTATTGCTATTTCTAAATACCATTTCAAATTGTAAGTACTTAGCCTTTAAAAATCATGTTTTGTGAAAGGCTACATTTTTAACTATAAATATGCTTTCTATGACTTCAAGTTTGACATCTTTCCTCTCACTGGCCTTTATTTAGATGATTCAGTAGAGTGGCTCTCTTCCTCCTCGAAGGATATATTTGCACTTTAAGAAATTTTGACTGTCTAGAATTCAGAAGAGCATGATACTAACTATAATCATGTACCTAAGATGAAACAGAACATCAAAGCAGTTTGTCTTCATCTAGTTTGCATTAAATTAAATATCACATTTTCTCAAAAAGAAATGGCTTCGAAAGCATACCGATTCATCCTTCTTGCCCTTTCCAATACTTCAAACATATGCTCTTGAAATAAATCAAGCCGCCGGTAGCGATTATTTTCAACATTCTTCCTAATAATGTCAAAAGTAAGGGGAGGTTTGTTAGGAAAGTTGGGATCCACAGCAGGAATTTCTGCTAAGGAATCACTATAGCATCTTCCTTCATCATCCTGATGACTCATGACCGACACAAAAAGATTATGGATAAGCTCTTGAATAAGCAAAGTCACATTTGGGACATGAGAGTCCTCATCTCCCTCCAAGTCTCTCCTAGTTTCAAGCAGGACTTTGTGTAGGACAAGGGCATCTTTGTAGATCAAAGATTCAGGTTCATTGTATGTACAAGCATTGTTAAACATCATGACAAAATCCTCAACCATAGAGTCTATATCTTGGTACTTGTTCGCCATCATGTGACTTCGAATTTTTTCCATATCCATGGGCTTTTTAATGGTCAGATAGTAGTCTGGCAGTTCAGATCTGGAGGGAAGCCTCAGAAATATTGCACTGAGGCGGCGACCTCTCTTATCAGTGTAGTTTTTAACAGCTTCATAAACTTCATTTAATTTCTGCTGCATTGGAGTCATATATTTTGATTTTTTTGGAGAAACACCACTCTTTCTACCTGAAAAAAGAGAAATAAAGTTAAATGGATAAAGTGAAAGAAATCTGACTTTGTATATAGTTAGTAGTAAAACAATAAGAAAGGATCTATCCAAATGATTTGCAAATCATCTTAAATTAACATGTCTTTAATGAAACAGGATCTATAGATTAAAAGAAGAAGTGGAAGATAACCTTAACTGTTTTCAGTAAACGTATTTTTGGTAGGCGAATTTGTACTCCTGAGGTAGCTGTACTTAAAGTGGCATAAAAGCAAATAAGTAGCTATGTGACACTGTAATTCTATCACCAGAGAACAGATTCTCATCATGGGAGAATGGAGGATGTATATAAAAACTCTGCAGCCTCAAATCTCAAATAAAAGTATCATCAAATTATAACACATTTTATGTTTAAAAATAAACTCACATAAATTTTTTTAGGCTGTCCACTGAAAACCCTAGAAATGATTACCAACTCACACAAATGTATCTCAGAGTACAATTTTATTTATTTTTTAAATTTTATTTATTTATTTAGTTTTTTTGAGACAGGGCTTTTGCAATGCAGCTCAGGCTGGCCTTGAGCTCACTTTGTAGCTCAGGTTCATCTTGAATTCGTAATGATTCTCCTACCTCAACCTCCCGAGTCCTGGGATTACAGGTGTGAATTACCACACCTGGTGCCTATAGTTTTAAAATAATAATAATAATAGTTCTAAATACTAATATCAAGGACCCCTGACCTTTTATCAGAAACCCCAAAAGGTGAGGACTCCCTGGCAAATAGCTGATTCTCAATTTGGTGTATCTTGGAATCCTAGACATCAAATAATCTATCAGTGACTTCCTACTATGGTCATGTCAAAAGAACACAGTCATTAGCCGGAGACAAGTATCAATAAGGACAATAATTGCAATGGGTTAAAACTCAACAATATGTTTGAATCTAGTAGTTTTTGTTTGTGGTATTGGAGATTGAGCCCAGGGCTTTGTACTGAGCTACACTCAAAGACCTTTTTCAAAAATGTATTTTTCTTTCTTTTTACAGTACTGAGAATTGAACCCAGAGTCTCTGCATTGAGCTACACCCAAGCTTATTTTTACTTTTTATTCTGAGTTGGGGTTTGTTAAGTTGCTAAGAAGACCAGGTTGGGTTTGAACTTGGGATGTTTTTGCCTCAGCCTCCCAGAGTGCTAGGATCACAGGGATGTGTCACAATATCCAGTCTAAATCTGGCAGTTTTTAATGATTCATTAAAAAAAATGAGTAAAACTGGAGGGTGCTAGTAAACTAATGTATTATTTTGAAAACTAGTAAGTAAAAGAAAAAAAGGGGTGGGGGGGGTCAAGCTTTTATAATTTCAAAACCAAGAAAAGACAAAAAAATTATACCACTGGTAACCTAATATTGGATAAAGGAAAGTATTTCATTTAATAAATGATGAGAAATGATAAAAATTATCATTTTTAGTTCTTTTCATGGATGAACAAACCAATATCAAATAACATTAACAGAAAGACACAACCAGATACCACGTATCATGTCATCTATTGAGCTGGTTCTTGTGCCAAGAACAGGGTCTCAAGTCTGAATCTTACTTTGGTTCAAACTACTAACTTACAGTAAATACAAGGATGGCAAAACATGTACTATAACACAGGGACTCAATGAATGAACAAAATCTAGACTGGGAAACTACAACAAACACCTTTTTTTTAAGTGGAGCAGAAGGAAGGTCAGATAGGACTCAGACATAGTACCATGTAAGTGTAGAAAATCTTTTGTGAGGTATCATTGCAAAGCTAAAACTGAATTTCATCAAGCCTTTAAAGTTAACTTTCGCCGGGGGTATACCTCAGTGGTACAGCACCCGCCTGGCAAGCGTGAGGTTTTGAGTTCAATTCCCAGTTCCAAAAAATAAAAGAAAAATTAAGCTTTCATTTATAAGAAATAAGGGGGATTAAAAAAAATTAAACTGACATCACAAGGGTCTAATCCAGAACTTGGGACTTTGTACAGTGACTTGGTTTCACCAATGAGCCAACAGGCATGAAGCAAGAAAAGGAGAGACCCTAGATTATGAGTTTAAGGGTAAAAGAGTCAAATCTAATATACTGAACTTAATTAGATCTGGATTTGATGGAGCCAACTGTAAAAACACATTTGTGAGAATCAGCAAAACCTTAAAGCTTGTTAAGTACTAAATGAAACCAAGAAACTACTGATAATTTTATTAGAAATTGAGATTTCTTGAGATTTATTGAGATTACAGTTAACCATACAGAAGAAACAACATGATTAGAGTTGCTTTAAAATAATTTAGAAAAAAAGTAAACAAGATATAGTAAATTAATGTGGCATAAGTTTGCAATTGTTAAATAACATATACACAGAAGTTCACTGTACTAGTCCTTTCATTTGCATATTTTTGAAAGTCTCTGAGCCAGCTGTGGTAGCGCATGCCTACAATTCCAGCATTTGGTGCTAATGCAGGTGGACTGCTGAGTTTGAAGCCAGCCAGGCATATATAGTAAGTTGAAGGCCAGCCTGAACTACATAGTGAACCCTGTCTCAAAAAACAAACAAAAAAATTTTTAGAAGAAAAGATAATTTAACATTTCACATTAAAATTCCTTTTTCCAAAAAAAGACCGAGGTATATCATGTACAGGGACAAATTTTCTATGATGAATGTGATCATTATGTGTACCTAAAATGTACCAATAAACTTAATTTTTAAAAAAATTTTTTGCGTCTCTTTTTTATCGGTACCAGGGATTGAACTCACAACCACACACTTGCAAGGCAGGCGCTTATGCTGCTGAGCTAAATCCCTAGCCCCAAACTTAATTTTTAAAAAACTCCCATAAAAAACAAAAAAAAACTCCCTTTAAACATGTGTTTAAATGTATTTAGTTATTATTGTCATTAGTCTTCAATTTATAGAATTATTTCTAATTTTGAATAGTATTTTATCCTAAAAAAAAAAAAAAAAAAAGTAGACTGAGTTTTGCATTTTTGTAAACCTGTATGCTTTTACAATTCCACTAAAAGATGAATGACTTTAACAAGAAGGAATTTTTACTCAGCAATAAATAATTCTCTATGCAATTGTGAAATTCAGTTTGCAATCATTTCATATGAAAAAAGAGGTGACTGCCAGGGATTTAGTGCAGTGGCATAAGTACCTATCTGGCAAGCAAAAGGTCATGAGTTTGAGCCCTGGTATCAAAAAAACAAAAGACCAAAAATACAAAAAGAGGTGCTTGTTTTCTCTTTTTCAAAACAAGTATGACTTAAAAATATCTGACAAATCACTATCATTTGTTTGGTATTTACTTTATTCATAAGTTTATATAAGACAGAAATCTCTTAGTTTAATGGAATTACTTTTGCTGTTCTTTCCCTCATAAATTTTAATAAAACCACCTTTCAAAAATATAAAAGAATGATATCTGAGTAGGACTGCTCCTGTCAAATTCTGTCCAGTAGGAGCTGCTAGGAGTCATTTTTAATTCTAGAAATCATCAAATGAACACATGCAAAGACAAAGCAAAACTGTCACAATTCTCTTACAGGTTTCAGATACAGAAACAATATTTATTCTTACTATTTAATGTTTAGGAAACATTTCCTGTAAGTATTTGGGAAGGCATATAAAACCTTTGTTGTTACAATCCATTTTCCACACATTCTTCACTGTTTAAACTACAGTAAGAATGTGCTTCACCATTTAATTAAATATTAACAAAGTATGATGCCATCTTACTTAGCTTGAGTTTGGGAGAAGCCAAGTCATCATCATCAGGGAGCGGGCCCAGCTCTTTCCTTTTATCCTTGAGTAATTTCTCCAGGATATGTGCATCATTATATACCTACATTCCAAAAATACATGTAAGATTATTTTCTAGGAAACTTTGAAGGTATAATATATGTCCATAAAGAAATTTTTTAAAAAGTTTAGAATTGATGCAGGTTGGGGCTGGGGATTTAGCTCAGCGGCAAAAGCACCTGCCTTGCAAGCACAGTCGTGAGTTCAATCCCCGGTACCAAAAAAAAAAAGAATTGCTGCAAGTTTTAAGATAAGTCCCCAAACACATTTACATATGTTGTTTTCCTCAAAACCTATCTTGCCCTTGTTACATTATCAAAAAGAACAATTTGTATTTTCACTGATTGTTTGATCATTTTCTCATGCTTATCTTGTAATCTGAACAACCACTTTTAAGATAATAGTATATTAACTGGTGTTATTGTTCTATTTTTTTTTAATTCTGTATCTTTTTTTTATCCTTTTTTGTTTTTAAAAGTTAAAAAAAAAAATCTATCTTTCCCTAGACCTTCAAGTTACTAGATACCCTGATGAAAATTAGAGATTTAAAATATGGAGAGGAGTATCTCAAATCTTATTAAATCTCAAACTTGAGTTCGATATGATCTGTTTACAAAAGCAACCTTGCTTAAGGATCTTTCTTTCTCTAAAGACTAAGGCTAGAGTGGCAAGATGTAGTTGAGAACAAGGTTACTCACCTAATGGCAGTGCCTTCACAGATGCCTCCTCCTACCTCCCTTCATCACCCCCAAAAGCAGGCCAGCTGAGGGAATAAGTGACCTCTCTTCTATGGTCATTACTCTTCGGGTCAGCTTTTATTTCTACCAGTGACGGGTGGTATAATGACCAGTGATGCTAAAGATAGTATTAATTCCTACTATAGAGGAACTTTTTTTTTGTCTTTTTTGAGATGGGGTTTCGCTATGCAGTTCAGGCTGGCCTTGAGCTCACTTTGTAGCCCAGGCTGGTCTCAAACTCGCAATGATCCTTTCACCTCAGCCTCCCGAGTGTTGGGATTACAGGCGTGAGTTACCACGCCCGGCTATGAGGAACATTTTTTTGATCTACAAGTATTTTCAGTACACATTTATTTTTAGTATTATGGACTGAACTCAACGGCCATGTACTTCATATGCTCTACCAATGAGCTATATCCACAGCCTATTTTTATTTCTGAGAAGTCTCACTACGTTTCTTATACTGGCCTGGAACTTGCAATTCTCCTTCCTCAGCCTCCTGAGTATAAGGGATTACAGGCATGTACTACCATATCTGGTAACACATAATTTATTTTATATTCAAATGTAACAGTAGAGGAAAAGAAATGACTGAAAATGTTAGTGAGGTCATGAAATCAATACCTAGTACTGCCACCTTCCTCAATTAATCTGAAAATCAAGATACTTCATATTATTTAGAGGTGCTTTAATAGGAGCACGATGGTGATTCTCATATAAATGCACAATTTCATGGGCTGTCTTTGGAGAAGTATAGCCACTGAAGACAGTAATAATGATGATGTATCTGCAATGTACCTCCATGACAGCATTTAAAAAATTTTTTTTGCAAGACTGTATGCTATTTGGCTTTCTTTTGGGCACTTTTTAGCACTATTCTAAATGTTCAATATACAATATCTTGGGTTGGGGATTTAGCTCAGCAGCACAAACGTCTGCCTTGCAAGTATGAGATCCTGAGTTCAGTCCCCAGTCAAAACACACACACACACACACACACACAAAATGTCTTTTAAAATTCAGAAACAATCCCAGTGTAAGTATTATTATCATTTCTAAATTTGAGATCAGGAAACTTGCACAGAGACTGGCACAGCAGGACTCAAATCTAAGATGATTTCCATTTTAAACAATTAAGAAAAGACAAATGAACTCAGCCATCAAGAATAATCCAGGTTAGGTCTAGAGCTTGTCTTTCAAAATATATTCTACTACTACCCAAAAGAAACGGTGTGTACTGCAGGATCCTCATCTGTCCTCACCTGGGAACCCTCTTCATTGTAGTGCCTGGCATTCCGGAACATCAGTTTCATGTCCTCTATCATTCCCTCTTCACCTGCGTATTTGTCATTGCGGATGTTATGCTCAATTATTTTCAAGTCCATTGGTTCCAAGATGATTTTATAATAATCAGGATAGTCCTTCTTGGATGGTTTAACCATAAATAGATCACAAAGTCTTCTGCCTGAACCTGGCTCTCGAGCTTCAAGAACAACATTGAATAAAATTTTCATTCGCTGCTTTCTTATGTTCTTTTTACTGTTGAAGGGGGAGGCAGAAGGGAAAAATGGTAACAGGTTCAGTTTTCTTTATACAAGGATGTACATAAAATGAAACAAATTAATCTTGCGGGCAGGTGCTTCATAATGATTATAATGTATTGACTACATATGCCACAAACACATTAAACATGCTAGAAGCTATAAACAGATAACAGGAAAATTAATAAAATAGTAAAAACTGTCTGTGATTAACAGACAAATCCGTTAACAATATCTTATGAAATGCAATGGTTGAAAAAAAGATTTTGTTCAACATCAAAAGAAACTGCTAGGGCTGGGGATACAGTTCTGGGACCGGGGATTTAGCTCAGCAGCACAAGTGCCTGCCTGGCAAGTGTAAGGTTCTGAGTTCAATTCCCGGTACCAAAAAGAAAAAAAAGAAACTTGTATCATCAAATGAAATATGGTTCTTCGTTTCTAAGACAAAATAGAGTAATAGTGCAATAAAATTGGCTACTCCTTATTATTAATAAAATCTGCACTTCCAAGCACCAAAACAAACAAACAAACAAACAAAAACCCAAAGAACAAAAACCCACCAAAACTAGAAGTACTTTACCTCTTAATCACACCAAAGCAGTAAATTCTGGTTAGCAGAAAACAAAAGACTGCCTACCAGGTTAGTGTTTCTATAGTGGGCATAACACTTGCACCAATCACACATCAGGGTCAATCCCTGTTGCCTTCCTCCACCAGCATTACTTAAAGAAGTGATTTACAGTTCATCTGAGCTCTCTGTAAATTTTCACCCTTGAATGTGAATCCCTCTTGTTTCCAAATTCCCTGGATGAGATGATTCTGAGAAACTGATAAGTGGTATGGAATAAAGTACAAGGGACCAGAGTCTAACACAAACATTCAAAAGGGGCCAAGACAGCAGATGGTCTCATCTAGAGAAAACTGGTTCAGAAAGGCAAATGATTTCCCCACAGTGGGCTGTTCAGAAAATTAGAAGAAATGACTTTCCAATACAATCGATTGATCTTTCTTTCTTTTTGGTTTGTTGAGATAGGGTCTCAATATGTAGCCCAGGTTGGCCTCAAACTTGCAGCAAACTTCCTGCCTCACCCTCCTAAATGCTGGGATTAAAGGTGTGTGCGCGTCTCATCTGGTCCAGTATGATTTCTGTTCAACTGTTCTTATAGTTTACAGGATACTGGCAAAGAATTTCTAGCTGAATTCTTAACCAGCAGTCTTCAAGTGAACAGTCAGGTATGTAATAAATGACTTAGAACTTTGTTTCTATTCAACAGTCATTTACAAAAAGCCTATAATACAGCACTTGGAGGTAAATATTTTGTTTCCTACCCTATAAGGAAAAGGAAGTTCACTCTGGAAGCACATTTTGTGGCTGTATGGGTCTTAGTCCAATCCTCTGACTCACTCTACTGCTGGGTCATGTGGATCTGGGATCACGCTTGCCATTTTCTTCCATCATTTCTTTTGGGTCTCTGTGTTTTTGTTAGGTAATCTAGGAAATGTTTCAGCTGTGGATACTATTTCTGTAAAGAGGCATCATGCAGTGATGATATGAGATAAACAGTTCTCTCATTCTTGGTCTTTAGCACCACTAAATCAAAACAAAAGGAAGACTCAATAATTCAAGTCCGAAGCCCTAATCATAAAAGATCTGAGTAATCAATTCAAAGAAATCAGTCCTCATTCCACTGAAGGCCTTATCCAGACCAGGAGATCAGTTCTATTGCCTTCCAGAATTCAGCACACTACTTACTCCTAATTGCCAGTAGGCTTTTCTGTATGAAGCTACAAATATGCCCATCTGGGACTGAACCTAAGGCATTTTTGTATTTTGAGACAGGATCTTGAAATTGTGATAGGTTGGCATCTCACAGGCTGGCCTTGAACTCTTGATCCTTCTGCCTCAGTCATCTGTGTGCTGGGATTACAGGGCATGTACAACCAAGACTATTTTAATTCAGATTTTTGTAAGATTTTTAAGAAAAGGGAATGGTCTTAACTGAATTTTCAAAACCAAGTAAAAGAACAGTAAACAGTCCATTCTTCCAATGCCAATAACTTTGAGTTTTGGTAGTTTACAAGAGAACATATTAATAACTTGATATCTAGTTGCAGATAAGAAATTGCTCTAGGCAGGGGTGGTGGCATATACCTGGTAAACCCAGTATGCAGCAAGCCAAGGCAGGAGGTCTGCTGCAAGCTCAAGACCAGTCTTTTTTTTTTTTTTGGTACCAGGCATCAAACTCACAACTTGACATTTGCCAAGCAGGCATTTAGGCCGCTGAGCTAAATCCCTGGCCCTCAAGACCAGTCTTTAAAGCACACTTCCCTTGTCTCAAAAAACAAACAAACAAACAAACAAAAAAACTGGTTTTTAACCTTTGTGCTAAGGTCATAAGTGAACAGATTCTGTTTTGTTATTTTGTTCACATTTTTCCAGACTCTTTTACTGCCTCTGACAATGAGAACTACTGGTCTATTCATTTTAATATGGTTTCTAAAAATCCTGAGAGACAAGGTCTTGCTAGGTCACTAAGTTGCCCAGAATGTGCTTGAACTTTTGACCCTCCTGCCTCAACTTCCAGAGTGCTGAGATCACAGGTGTCTGTATACACCACTCCTGGCTTCTAGCTGCTGTTTTCAATCTCACTGTTTTTCAGATTCATCTTAGAACCCCTGTATGAATTCTATCCTTCCACTTCCTTTAAACTATTACCTGATAAATCATTTTTTTTTTTTAAATCGGTACCAGGGATTGAACTCACAACCCCATGCTTACAAGGCAGGCGCTTATGCAGCTGAGCTAAATCCCCAGCCCCAGTAAACTGTTTTTGACTCATCCATTTTTGGAAAACAAACCAAACATTACAACTTGTAACTGGAAAAAATAATTTTTTAAAAAAAATCAGTACTTTTGAGCATACTAAAGTACAAATACATCTTAAGAGAGTTCAAAACCAGGACTGTTCAAACTTAAGAGAATACTAAGTCAGATCATAAACACTGTTATAATAAATATATATAGCAAGTCCCCAACTTCTTATAAACATTCAAATTGTGAACTTCACAGGTATACTGTATAAGACTCACTTTATTAGCTTACCAACAAATCTAACTTAAGAACTATACTCCCAAAGTGGAACTTGTTCATAACTTGGAGACTTCCTGTAATTTTAAATATGTAATTTTAGAATTTTACAAGAGATAGGCCATAAAGAGTCCTGTACTAAAAATATCAGTATATTACAACAATTTTCCAATACACAGAAGTTACATATCTTAAGAAATAGGTACTGTTCTAATTTGCACAAAGATTTGACTAGTTAGGATTCTGTTCTGAAGCATTAATTTTTTTAAATATCATCCTCCTGAGCCCAATCTACCCTGAAATATGGGAGTCAGTTACCGTTTGTTCCTCCCAGCTTGTCACCAAACTCTAGATTTCCAAAGCATTCCGGGATCTGATTTTCCTTTAATTCCTCATATTACAATGTTAGACCTAACCTAATCTTTGTAGCTGACCACTTTCTCAAATGTCCTTATCATTATTCTTCTACTGAAACTCTTACTTGAATGTATACCAATAACATTTATATTTACAGTAATAGATAATATTTCTATCATTGTGAAACACTACTCTCATATACTGAGAATCAGGTACAATTATTAACCTAACTTTGCAGAAGTCAAAAATGAGCTATTCATTAGAGACCAAATGAATACCTAAATCCATAAACTGAATAATCCAAACAAACATTTGAATCAGCTAATAATTACCTACTGCTTTTATCATGTTTGTTATTTTCCTAAAAGGTAACACTTAACAATTGGTTTCTTACCACTTAGCTCCCTGGTCGAAGACCTTCAGCAGTACTTTCTGAAGTAAATTAGGTAAACTCAAAGGTTCTTTCCTTTATAAGGTTTGCTGTGTTTTACCCACCTTTTCATTCATCTTTCAGTTTTTTTCAATGAGTCTTCCTAGAAAGTAATATCTGACTAAAACTAGCCAGGTGTGTTACTGCACATCTGTAATCTCAACAGTCAGGAGGCTGAGGCAGGAAGATTGCTGAGAGTTTGAGGCCAGTTGGTACTACATAGTGAGTCCAAGGCCAATCTGAACTATATAGCAAGACCTTGTCTCAAAATAGAGCAGAAGGAGAAGAGGAGGAGGAAGGGAGGAGCAAGAAGAAGAAGAAGAAGTAATAATAAATATTATGAAGGGCTAAAATTAAAATTTGCAAAGTCCCTAACAGGAATTTCTTCCAGATATAGAGCTGTATTTAATAAGCACTCACGACATCTAGGCCCAGTTTTAACAGTTTTATACATATTAATCAACTGCATCCTCACCTATGTGGTTACTGTCATTATCTCCCTTTTCAGACAAAGAAGCTGAAATGAGACTTAGACTCCAGAGTTGAAGAATAGGTAGAATTTGAATTTGGGCATTCAAATCTCTATATTTCAGGGTTTACCAGTGTCTCAAGAAGTCCCCATTTTCACTTCCACTAACACCCAGAGTTGGTACCATATACCATAAAAGACATGTAAGAATGCCATCTATAGACTTTTTCATAAATTAATGAACAAAAGTTTTTTCTTTATGAAGATGACAAAATAACAGTTTTGTAGAGTAGATTAGATATCATAGCAACATATAGGTGGTCTTAAAATACTTAATTCTCAAGGAAAGACGACAAAAGGAATCTTGCCAAAGCTGTTTGGGCAATCAGGCAACATTTTTACAATACACAGTTGTGTCCTCTATGCACTTATTTTACAACATTGCTTCCAATATAACTTTACTTGTTTTCAACTTTCCTCTTTCCTTGACCACAAAGTTCCTAGCACATAAAAAAGATAATTAAATGTTTTCCTTTATGATCTGTTAACGTCTAGTGTTTAGCAAGTAATTGATACTCTGAAAAATCAGATGGCAAATGTGAAAACAAAAGCACTCCACAATTATCTTAGCATTGTGATACAGCAACTTGGAAATGTTTCTAAAAATCTAAAGTAACATGCAAAAGAATGGGTGCATTTAAAGAAATAAGGCATGGATAAGACAAAGACTGAGAAGATGTGTCTATGTTCAAGAAATACTAACCCAATGTAGAAGAGCCCACATGCACTAACATCTGGATTATCAATATTGATCCTTCCACCATCCTCAATCAGGGAGACATCCCTAAAAGGGAATCAGCATCCACCAGCCTGTCATCAATAATGCCCACTAAGTAGCAGCCTCTACCTTTTGCTACAGAAGCATAGCCACAATGACTGATGAAGGTGCCTCTGTCCCTGGCAAAAGTGGCAATAAATTTAGGCTCATACTGAACATATCTAGGGATAGCCAATTCTTATCTTAATACATGGACTCCTAAACTGTATTATTTTTTATTTATAATATAAACTGGCACCACATGCTTAAGACTTTAGTTTTCACTTTGTCAGTACTGACCATGTCATAGAAGAGTTACACTTTTAAGAGAATGTTTATGCATAAAAAAGGACTGCACACCTGGATAGCCTCCTGAGACCCAACATCTCACTGTCATGAGTGTTCCTGGGAAAGCAGAAACAAATATTAAATGTGAAGAGAAATAAAACAACCAACACTGGAGGATCATGCATAAACCAAATATGGTTGAGGAAAGGAGGATTATTCAAGCCCAAAGGATAAAAGATCATAATACTTGAAACATTTTGATATGGAAGACAGAAAGTAGATTTTTGGGTAGAGTGATGGGAAAAAGAACCTACTCCTCGCATAAAGAGACAATATAATCATTTTTTCTCACCCTCTTTGGTATTAAAAAATTAGAGAAAGATACACTCATACACAACAGGAATCAAGAAGTATTTGGGAAAATTTGGCCCTGAATTCCCTGACCAAGCTTAACTTCAGCTCCTGGATCGCTGTTTGCTTAACTTCTGGAGAAGTCTATATCATATTACCAAACCCTCTCAACAAAACTAGTTCTGAAAGGTTAATCATATTATTTTGTTGTTGCTGTTGTTACCAAAGTAGGAGACTTATTTTCTCAATCTTTTAAAGTTCACTTATGCTTGCAACTCAAATCCAAGTTTGTTCTTTTAATGCTTTGGTAGATGACTTATAGTTGATTTCTTACTTGTGTATTTCAGTTTATTACACAGAGCACTTTACAGCCAACCTCTGTTAATACAGTGACTTTGTCTGAAATAGGATTTTATCATCTTAAGAACATAAAGCTCAAGCTTTTTGGTTTGTCTTTAAGTAGGTTTTAGGACAATGAAGTTTCATCTAATCTACTTGTGAATCCCAAACTATAAACCACAGAGATAGGTAGTCTTTAAGGGTCTGCCCTTGAACTTTATTTTTCCTTGAACATTTTTTTTTTCTTTTTTTTTTGAGACAGGGTCTTGCTATGTAGTGCAGGCTGGCCTTGAACTTACTTTATGTAGCCCAGGCTGGCCTCAAACTCACGGCGATCCTCCTGCCTCAGCCTCCTGAGTGCTGGGATTACAAGCATGCACCACTATGCCTGGCATCCTTGAATTGTTTTAAAACACAACTAATTTATGATCTCTCTTCATCTAGTGCTGGCACAAAATGTACCATCACATTTGCCTCCATTACCTTCTTTTGCCTGAGAAGTTTTTATCTTTGGTTGGTGACTGATTTGGCAAACACAGGTGATGCTGCAGTAGCGTTATATAATTATACTCAAGGATGCTCTTGATTTGTTGTCTATGATCTGGTTTCACATTTTTCCTCTGTTGCCCCTGGTATAACAAAGAATTAAGAACTTGGAAGGATGAAAGTCACAGGCCAGTAATGGAGGAGGTTTACATCTCAGGGCACACCAATCAATTTAGTTACCATGGCAGAGTACTACAAATTTATTTTCTAAACTAAAAAAAATTGTTTTCCCCATATGATCTTTAAAAGAGGGAAAGACAGGATAGTTTCCCTTTTGTAACTCTTATTAGATCTTTTAATCTATGTACAGAACTGTGTCAATGGCTACTAATGATTTCTTGAATTCTAAATTTATCAAATCTTGCTATTAGGCATTACCTCATTCTTTGTTTAAAGTATCCTTCACTGATTGAATACTATTTGTTTTTTGTTTTTGTTTTTGGGTACTGGGGATCAAACTTATGACCTTGTACTTGGCAGGCAAGTGTTTATGCCACTGAGCTAAATCCCCAGCCCCAGGACTGATTGAATACTACTGCAAAGACTGTAACACATTTAAACTGAGTGTTTCACAATATGTTGTTTCACAATAACCAAGCTAGAGAAACTTCATGTGGGAGGGGCAAATAAAAGGAGATGGTCTTGCTTGAGTGCTTATAGGAACCCAGCTTTAGAATCTCAAGAGAGACTGTCCCCCTTCCACAAAATTCATTGGAGGAAGAAAGGATTAGGGAAGTTGACAGAAAAGTGATGAAACACAAAACACAAAACATCCAAACAGCTAGTTTAACATTTTATGAACTATAAGCTATGATTTGATCATTTACAACCTGACATTCTTAAAATCACAAAGATCAAGTTAACATGGGAAAAGAAGAGCAAGAGCAATTAACTGACTTTACCACAATGGTAGCACCAAATTTCTTCCTACTTTTCCTAACTCAGAGTTCACCTTTGCAATTCACTATGCAGAAATTATTGTATCTAAATTAGATTTAAGTGGCACTCTTAAATGCCACTTTAAAAAATAATCTAAATAGTAAAGAGAATAACATATTTTGCCAAAATATACATCGCACATAAGCTGTCATTTTTCTCTGTGTCATCTATTTTCTTTTTTTTTTTCTCTTTTGGTACCAGGGATACAACTCACGACCTTGCACTTGCCAGTCAGGCGCTTATGCCGCTGAGCTAAATCCTCGGCCCTCTCTGTGTCATCTAAAAGCAAATACGATACCTTTAAACAAAAAGTACAAGAAAAGAGGGTAATAATTCAATTTTAAAATAAATTCTAGAAGTTGAAGTCATTAAACATTTAAAGCTTGTAATAGAATTCATACTTCCCAATTAAAACTTTTTCTGTGCATTTATCTGAATTGAATAGGAACTGAGATGGTTCTGACTATGAGATGAACATATACCTTTTTCTTTTGGCACTACCAGTATCAGAGGTGGCTGAAGAGATCATGCTGTCTCCATCCTCAATGTCATCTCGCCTGGCAAGTTCTTTCTTCTTTGCCTAAAACACAGCAGATCTTGGGAGTCAGGCTCACTTTTCTGAGCCCTCCTATAAATACATGAATGTTAAAGAGCTAGAGGATACACAAAATTAAAGTTATTAAACATTTTTAATAATTCAGTGCAATAAAAAAGCCAGTACACAGAAAAGTAAGTTAAAAGTGGATCCAGTGGGCTGAAGAACAGACATTAGATAAAGCATTTAAGACTATGAATGGTGTCACCTGAGGCAAGTTGGAAAGACATCTTGCTCTGGTGGCTATATTTAAGCTATGCCAACTCACAATGGGTCTTTGGTATTCTTGACTTCTAAGGTGCAATGTGGCTAACAATATAGTTTAACATGAGCAGTGAAGGAAAATCTAAGTTCCAACACACGTATTTTTAAAGACCATCTACCAAAGAGAGCTAAAGGTCCAACCACAGCAGGCTCTGGGAGTATATTTACAGAATACTGTAAAGGAAACATTAGGAATTCATAGCATTAAAGATTACAGTGTTAGTCATAGAAAATTAAGGTACTACGGGTTACCTAAAACTGTCTTTGTTGTTTCCTTGCCCAAAGACTGTTCTTCTAGAACGATTCTACAAAAACTGCGAGAGTCTGATACAGGGGGGTCATGGTTTGGGGCAACTTAGTGAGACCCTATCTCAGAACAAAAACTAAAAACAGGCTGAAGATGTACCCTGTATTGCAACAAAACACATCAAAACAATGCCCAGAAAACATAATAACAAAACAAGAATAAACTAAAAAACCAGAACAATGAGATGGACCAACTTGTATTTCACATCTATCTTTTGGTTTTATAAATAGATGACCAGAAACTTTAGATGCTCTTTCAGGACTATGAGAAAGGAACCTTTGGACACTATACAATGATTAATTCACTTGTGGAGGCTTTGTTCTAGACCAGCCCTATGTGAACTGAGGCGAAGTCTAGAATCAGAGGGACAAAATCTAAATGAGATAATATTATTTGGGATTAAAGCATAAATTCCCAAGAATCCTAAAGTTACATCCAAGGAACAAAACTCTATTTCCTCCATTCATCAAGCTTAATTTTTTTTTAATCTATGATTTTTCTTCTACATAGCCCTGGCAACTCTGAAAAAGTATTTAGCAATAATTGCTGTTAAAATCAATGATCTGATATTGCTGAAGAGGAAATGACATATTTTAAAAGAACACGTGACATATGAAATTATTTCAATAATACAACAAACTGAGCAAAATCATACCTAAGAAATCATACCTGCATGACTTGCTGTAACTTAAGAACTCGCTTATAGATGGCTGAATTGGGAACATTATAGCGTTTGGCATTTTCAAACATTAAATTCAAATCACATTCCAAATGATCTAAGGTTTCATATTCTTGGTTCTTTAGCTTTGTTCTGTGAAAGACCAAAAAAAAAAAAAAATGATTAGAACTTTCTATCATAAAAATTATGAAATATTATTACTAAAAGTCTTGACCAGCATCACATGGCATCTTTCCTAGTGATAATTATTAGGGGATTTTAAAAAAAGAGTTAAAAAATAAAAAGTAGTGGCAATGCCATGAAAAAGCATCTGGAACCTGCAAGGATGATAACTATGAAGAGTGAAGAGATCTTATGATAGTAAGTAAGATGGAGATTTGTAAGAGTTCATTCACTACAATTTCCTCCAATATAATTACTTTATACAATAGCTTAAAGCTGAAGTTTACCTTATTTTATCTAAGTTCTAAGAATCCTGTTATCTTAGACACTATTTCTAGTAGCGTAACACTGAGTTTTAGCAGACCCATCACTTACTTTTCTACTGAAAATTTGTACTGTAGTGTAACAGTAGCTGGCTGAGAGTCTCGGTAGCTATCCCTGAGGGAAACAGGAATCAACCTTTGTATTTATCTACTTGGTATGACAAAGGGTAAGACGTGTGTATCTGTGCAAAAGTGACAAGATGGGATTTTTATCCATTTTATGTTGTCTGATTTTGTATATGTTTACCTGAGCATCACAAAGGGTCAAATATACCTGCACCACACCAAGATTGGTTAAAAATATTTTTCTTTTGATTTTTCTAAGCAGCCCAATTCAGTACAATGGCACATGAAAAACAAGATTTGCAAGTTTTGGAGGAGGTCAAAGGTGAATCATCAGATTACTCATGCACAGATGGTGAAGATGATCTATTATGGTAAAATACATGCTTTCATGACAGAAGAGTGGTGTGGGCATATGACAACAATAATGATGATAGTGAAGATGATGACTTTGACACTGTCTACATGATCCAAGTTCATGTGACAGTAAAATGGAGCAAGAATTGACTGGTAGACACAGGAAATGCAGATCTCTTTAATTCAGATGACAAAGAAAATGGCAATGTGAGTATATATTTGACTAGTTGAAATGTTGCAAAATGGTCATGCAACCAAATGGAATGATTCAATGTTAGAACTAGGTCTGAAAATTTAGTGAGGGTTTTGACAGGAGTGAAGTTTATTGGACAAAATGCCAAATTGCCACTCAGTGTTGGAAATTCTAACAGACAAAATGGTACAAGATGCTGTGAAATACACAAAGGCTGAAATTCAAGTAAAACATTCATATGTACAAACAGCCATATTAAAAATGTATTTATGATAACTTCACTAGCTGAACTGAAAGCATTTATAGGTCTACTGTACTTAAACAGGGATTTCTCTTAGTGATAGCAGGAATGTAAAAGACTTATGCAAAAGCAATGAGTCAAAATATAGGATAAAAATTTATGACCTTGTATAGGTGAAAACACAATATGCTGTTAATTTAGACATTTATCCTGTAACTCAAGCCATGAGGTTATCTGTATATTAATAAACCAAATGATGTAGTGAACAGACTTGTTTCTCCAATCTCCCAAATTAATCAGAATGTGATTCAGACAACTGATTTATCAGTTTTCAATTGATGTTGCATTTGCTAACAGAACAAAAGGTAAATAGTGTAGAAACTGTAAGAACAATGCAAACATTCCAAATGAAATGTTGCAATTTCAAAACAAAGAATTGTATGGTACAATCTTTGGATTTCAGAAAGATGTAACATTGGCCTCATATATGGCAAAGAAAAACTGGTACTATTGACCTTCACATTCTCTGGTTTCTCTTCAGACTGTATAAATATTTTACTTTTTACACTGTAGTTCATAGGTTTTTATTTCTGATATTATCTTTTATGTTTTGAGAGCAAATAAACAGCTGATGTGAAAATGCTGATATCTATTTTAAGCACTCATTATATATTTGATACTTTATTTTATTGGTATCTTATTTCCCTGGTAAGGGCATGTTGTACAAAATAGAAGCTTCTGACAAAACAAGAAAAGAGGTGACAAGATTGCCACATAAGCTAAGGACATGTGCCGTCACTGTATGCGAGATATGTGCATATAACATGCAGTTATCATGTGTGAAGACTGCATTGAGTGTGACAGTTAAAGCAAAGCTTATTTCTATGGTAGAGTTTAGTGATATTTTCAGTGTCATTCATATAGGAAATTATTTCTGATGTTACCTTTTAGGGTCTGTAAGCAAGTACACAGCTGGTGTAAAAATGTTGATGTCTGTTCTAAATGCACAATACAAATTAAGAATTTAATACTTTATTGAGATTTTATGTTCCTGTTAATTACACGCTGTATAACAGAATAAGAACCACCTGACAGAACAATAAGACTGGTGAGATGTCAAGTATGTCCTACAAAAAGACCATGTGCTGGCAGTGTAAATGATATGTGTTTGGAATGTGCTGTTGTCATGTGTGCAGACTGCCTTAGGTGTGATAACTTAAGATTTTTTTTGTAAAGTGATATTGGTATTTTCATTGCAGCTCATATTTACAAATAAAATTTTGTGTTGTTCTTTTCTAGACTTTGTAAAAAACAGATGATTTTGAAATTTTTAATTTTTTTATAAACAATAAAGACTAAAAATGATACTTTATTTTTGTGATTTTTTTCAGTTATATACCCATTGTTTAATATATAAACCTCATAAAATTAAAAATTCAACAAAAATATCAGAAAGAGTAAGATCCATGTTTTTGTGCCTTTATCACAAAATTAGTGTTACGTTCCTAGTTAAAACTCAGAAAGATTTATGTACTTTACAAAAAAATGAAGAGTCACAGCTTGCTCTAACTATGAATCTGTATAGGATAAACATTTAAATCTTTTGACTGAAGGATCTACATATTAATCATCAAAATCACAAAAACAGTATTAAAATTACTGAAAATATGTAAAAACAACTTCACTGAGTAAATATAGAGTTAAAACTTTCTCTTAAAATGGCATTGTCCATTTGGTGTACATTATTGTACATAAAGTTTACCAAAAATTATATTCAGATCCTGTAGTGCTTAAGAAGGTAAAAATATTACAAAATATCTTTGCAAGAAAGCAAAAACTAAGCACAAATTCTGTTCTCAGTACCAGCTAATACAGCTAGCATCCGATTTTAAATTATACCCTGAGATTATTCCTGTCAACTGAAAGGGTATAGTCCTAGTTATTCTCAAAACTCACAAAAAAAATGAGAACTAAAACTTGTAAAATCCAATCTCTGCTAGATACACAAATATTTTTCAAACTAATGACAATCAGGGTAGAAGGGGAAGGAATGGGAAAAATAGAAAATAAAACATGACAACCCAACAACACAGTGGAAAATGATTTGAGGAAACATACTACTTCATGCTCTCTCTTTTTTCATGGTGACATGCCAGATCCAGTGAAGATTGATAAGGATATGCTGTAATGTTTAATTTGACAAAAACTGCTATCAATGAAAACTTTTAACTGCTTCAGAAAGAGGCAAGAATGATGAGATAAATGTATCTAAAGCAAGGGAGCATATTTTATAGAGAATTAATGTCAAGCTGAAATTTGAGATTCATGCTAAGCAAGTGCCCTACCACTAAGCTACCTCCCTAGCTTCTCCCTTCTATTCTTTGTTGGTTTTGAGGAGACTTTATTATGCCAACAAATCTTCTTATGGTTGACTGTATGCAGGGTGACTAAAAAGTATAGTGAATATTTCACCTTAAATATCTTATTGTAATAAAAAGACATTGCCATTACTTCTGCAGTGGTACCTTGGTTCATAAATTTGATTGTAAAGGAGTGTATCTGAAGCAAGGGAGTGTATTTTAAAGGGAATTAATGTCAATGTGTCTGTTAGTGCAATAAAGTTTTTCTAAGCACACTTCATACTGCACATCATGCAGCATCCACTCATCACATATGGTTGCTGAAATTAAAATTAAATAAACTTATAATGAAGTTCCTTAGTTGGGAATGGTGGTACATGCCTGTAATCTCAGGACTCAGGGAGGCTGATGCAGGATAGCCACAAGTTTGAGGCCAGCCTGGGGTACATAGTGAGTCCAAGGCTAGTCTAAACTACACAGCAAGACTCTGCCTCATAAAAACAAAAAATCAAGTCCCTTGGTTGTGCAAGTCTCAGTTCAAGTGTTAACCAGCCAGTATGACTAGTGATTAACATCACACTGGATGACATAAGTAATACAAGACTTTTTATTCCTGGCAGAAAGTTACAGTGGACAGCACTAACCCTAGATGGCTATTGCTCTATAGAATACAATAGGAGCCCAGGAACAGCAGGTTCCTGACAAGCATCATCGGTTCTGGGACCTTAGAAAGCCTTAATAGCCTAAATGCTTATCATTCAAAATTTCAATGCAGCCAGGTTTGGTGGTACGTACCTGTAATCCCAGCACTCTCGAGGTTGAGTTGCTAGGTCATATACTGTATTTACCCAAAAGTAGGACCTAGCCAGAAAATAAGCCCTGCTCAATTTTTTTCAGGATGTTCATAAAATAAGCCCTTCCTGAAAATAAGTCCCAGTTAAGATCATCAGCCAGAAAGATGCATTTAATATGTCTGTTGTAACACATGATGGATATATTGAATCATATAATAGTAACTACTAATAATCTTACTGGCATTAAATACTTAAATAATATAAATTATAATTACAAATACCCAAGCAGCTGCCTCTGGACAAAAGATAAAAGGCTAGGTAAAGAGATGAACTTGAGTTATTGCCAAATGACCAAAGTACAGATACAGTGTACGAATAAGAAGCGTACTTAATAACAAACTGACAGAGTTGTATCTAACACAAACTTCATAATTCAGTATGTCCTGTGTTGTAAGAGATGTATCTAATGCGCTTGTGTAAAATAAAGATAATAAGTTTTCTGAATTTTGGTGCTGCAATTTTTGTTCACTTTCAGGTGGACAATCTTTTATTCCATCATTAATCATCCTCATTTTTTTTTTTTTTTTTGGTACCAGCAATCAAACTCAGAACCTTGCACTTGCCAGCAGATGTTTGTGCTGCTGAGCTATACCCCTGGCCTAATGACCCTTGTTTTTGTTGCCATGTTTGTCTCAGAAGACTTCAGTTAACATTTGATTTGATGGAAACTTTGTAAAGCCCTGTCTGCAAGAAGTCATGATTTGGGTGAATTCATGGGATAAAATCGCTGACAGCTGTGTTACAAATTATGTGTTATGAATAGGCTACATTGGCAAGAAGTGCTCATTTAAGGAGTGCTCTGTTGCTGGACATGAATGATTAGGGCCAACAGTTCTACAGGAAATGAAGTCACAAGAAATTTACACTGGAATTTGGGGTTTAGATTTTCAATGATGTTCCACAAGATGATGACTTGACTGCATATGAATAAATGTACATTTCTGTATATGAATAAATGTAGATTGTTATCATGAAAAAGTAAGATATTCCCTGAAAATAAGCACTATTGAGTCTTCTGGAGCAAAAACTAATACATATAAGATCCAGTCTTATTTTGGGGGAAATATGCTAGATACAGTAAAACTCAATTTTCTGAAACTGTCACAGTATTTTCCAGTGTACGACCTTCTCAACAGTGTAGAAGGGTCTCACTTTGTCTACATACTCAGAAACACATATTCACTCCAGTCTCTTTTTTTTTTTTTTGACAGTAACTAATATAACAGTGTAAAGTGATATTATTGAACTCACAACTGCCTGCTTGCAAGGCAGGTGCTTATGGCACTGAGCTAAATCCCCAACCCTTATATATCATTGTAGTTTTAGTTTTTCACTTCTCTAATGATCAGTGATGTTGTTTTTTTTCCCGATGTGCTTATTTAAGCCATTTATGTATTTTTAAGAGAAATAGGCTACATGGACAAGAAATCCATAAATCCATTCATATGCTCTGCCCATATTTGAATTGGGTTTTTATTATTGAGATTTCTTACTATTATTAATGATACTAGGTAGGGTTTAAGCATGTTGCTTCGTTGATTTCCCAATGATTACATTAACATTTTCTTTTTTTTTTTTTTTTTTTTTAACCCCACCCCTACATTAACATTTTCTAACTTGAGTGCATGCATATTCAAGACCAGTTCAGGCAATATAGAGAAGGCCCTATAACAGAACAAAAAATAGAACAAAACATAACTTTTCTAAAGAGAAATGGGAAACTAAGAGGAGCTATATTTCATGTTTAGTTTTAGCTAATAAATTCTCCAAGAACTGACTATAGCTATTCTGGAGATTCAAGTATATAGACTTTAAATACAAATAAATTATCATCACTCCAATATCAATGAAAAGTATAAACATAAAGAGTTTTATACTTTGTTGAGCTGTAAGAAAAAACAATAAATTTTGAGATAAAGGCATTCTACCTTTAATATCCTTATCCAGTACAAGATGGAATATGTGCAGGCTTGATCATAAGAAAACAAATATTTACACTGCGTAATGCAGAAGTGACCTTACCTGATCTGCTGTAGGGATATGGGCATTTTAATTTGCTGGTAGTAATCAGGGTATTTTTTCTTTGAGGGCAAATGGAAAAAAGGTTCCGCTATTAGCTGCCCTTGGTTATTTCGACAGCTCCTAACTGCGTCATAAAGCTGATAAAAAGGATTTGAAACATCCATAAAGGAAGTGATACTCTCTGCTTCTGATTCTCCTTCTTCATAACGTGCAGCTGGAAAATCAAAAAAAGAACATTTAGAAGTGGGGAAAAGAAACGGAGAAAGAACCACACTTCAAAGCTCTTTTGGTAACCTTGCAGATCAGCCTATACACATTTGAAAACAATTTTTCTGAAAGAATAGTTTTTAACCTTCATTGAAAGCTATGTCAAGGATAAAAATATTACTCAGAAATAGTACATCAAGTAGTGAAAGTTTCAATGGTTTTTCAAAAATTACAAAAAAAACTCTCTCCAGTACAGGGGATTAAACCCAGGGCCTTCACAGAGAGGCACATTCTCAGTCCTTTTGATTTTTTTATTTTGAGAGAAAGTCTTACTAAGTCACTAAACTGCATCTCCAATCTTCCTGCCTCAGCCTCCCAGAATGTTGAGATTACAGATATGTACCATAAACCCTGCAAAATAGTTCTTTTTAATGTGCTTTCCTTGCTGTTGGACAAAAGAAAAAGCCACTCAAGGATTTTAGAGCTAAAGGAACAACATAAAGTTTAGTGCCTTAGTTTGGATGGAATGTTTCCTTATGGCTCAAGTGTAAAGGCATGTGTTATGGTTTGTGTCTGTATGACCCCCTCAAAGCCTCATGCAGTCATGGTGAGAGTGCTTTTCGGAAGATGCTGAAATCTAGTTTGTGACTGATTCATGGTGTAATGCTGGAATAAGGGTCGTGAGTGCCACACTTGTCCTAAGGCAGGCAACCTGGACACAATAAAAGAGACAGAAAGAGGTTTATCTCTCTCTTCACTTGGTTTCTGCTGCTATGAAATACTGTCCCTCTGCCATGTGCCACCCTGCCTTGGAGCCATGTGATTAGGGACAGAAATCTGTACAAACTGTGAGCTAAAGAAGTCATTCCTATTTTAGCTGTTGGGTGCCAGATATTTTGGCTCAGCGATGAGAAAAGTAACCAAGTCAGCTTGGTCCCCAAAGAGCTAGTAGTGAAAGCTAAGTGAGGTGTAGTGGGAGGTTAGGACACATCTTGACTTGAAGGGGTCAATAGGACTCTGTGTCTGTCTCCTTCTTTCCTCTGTCATGAGATGAATCATTTTGCTCTACGATATGATTCTGCTATGATGTACTGCCTTGCCACAAGTCTAACAGCAATGGATCCACCTAATTGTAGACTAGAACTTTGGAAACTGTGAGCCAAAACAAGGTATCTTAAGTATCTCAGGTATTTGTGTCCAAATGTCCATCAGCTGATGAATGGATAAAGATGTGGTTTTTCCTCCTCCTCCTCCCTCTTTTTCTTTTTGTATACAATGGAGTACTACTCTGCCATAAAGGTAAGTTTAAGACATTTCTAGCTAAATGGGACCATGAGACCATATAAATCAAACACAAGTTCAACTACCACATTGTTTCTATGATGAGAGAAACCAAAAATGTAAATAAAGACTAAAATGTATAACAGATTCTGGGAAATGGAAAGAAAATGCTGAAATGAGAAGAGAACAAGGGCAGAGGGGAGCGGAATGGAAAAAAAGTACAGCAAAAAAAAAAAAAAGGGAAAAAAAACAAAAAAAGCTTTTGTAAACAAGCAGGGCAAGAAGGGTTGAAGGGAGAGGAAGGAAATGGAAAAAAAAAAAGATATATCATGTACAGGTACAAATTCCCTATGATGATTATTACGTATATCTAAAAGGTACCAATAATTTTTTTTTTTAAAGGCAGAGTTTTATTATGTAGCGGAGGCTGGCCTCAAACTCAAGGAGATTCTCCTGCTTCAGAGTCCCAAGTGCAGGGTAGGCATACACTGTATAAGACAGAAAATTTAAATTGTCTTATACAGTGTTAATGAATTCAAGGAAACGAGAAAAATCTGTTTTCTTTTTCTGTTTTTAAAAACCCATTTTCTATTTGTATAAAAATAATTATATGTTTTTGTATACATTTTGTATATGTTTTTGTATTTGTATAAAAATAATTGTATGTTCTGGTGTTTTTAATAATTCAGCTTACACCTAAAAATGACCTCTGCAATGGATTATACCTCAGCTGTGATAGATCAGTGAGGCAGAGTCACAGAGACTTAAGACTAAAATATATTATGTAGCCCAGGCCAGCCTTAAACTCATGGTGATCCTCCTGCCTCAGCTTCCCAAGTACTAGTACTAAAGCATGTACTACATGTCCAGCCTATGATACTTTTATAGTTTATGTCTAGATGTCCACTGCAAAGCCTCATGTAGTAATGGGGGGCAGGCTTTAAAGAAGTAGTTGAATCTACAGTGGTGTTTAGAGTAAAGGTGTATGATTAGTAAATTAGTAATTAGTTTGGCACAGTTTCAGCTAGGATTAAGGGTGTGAGTGCTACATCTGCCCTAGGGCAGGTAGTCTGCATGTACAACATAAGGGAAAGAAAAAGGCTTGTGGTTTCTTCCCTTGTTGCTTTTGCTATCTTCCACTGCCACCAACAGTTGCTCCTCTGAGAAGTGCCACTCTGCCTTGAAGCCAGTTGATTATGGACTGAAACCTCTACAAACTGTGAGGCAAATAAATCTTTCCTCCTTTAACTTTTGGGTGTCAAGTATTTTGTCTCAGCAATGAGAAAAATAACTAAGATATTTTTTAAAAGAAAATCTTGTTTCATTTACTTATTGAGATAGGGTCGGTCTCATTAAGTAGTTCAGGCTTGCCTTCAACTCACTATGAAACCCAGGTTACCCTTGAACTCCACAGCAGTCTTCCTGCCTTAGCCTCCTAAGCACTGGGATCACAGGTGTCTACCACTATGACTAGCTTTAATTATATACTTTAAAGCACTGCTAGATATTGTATGCTTATATTTTGTTTGGTTTTAATATTTAGGTATATTAGAGCCATACAGTGGATTAAGGAATTTTTTTTCTATTTTATGTAGAAGTTTATATAAAAATTTGTGCCTCAGGAGGACTAAGAGTATAGCTTGCTGATAAGAGTGCTTGCCTGGGGCTGGGGGTTTAGCTCAGCAGCATAAGCACTTGCTTGGCAAGCATGAGGTTGTGAGTTCAATGCCTGCACTGCCCTCCCCTGAACCCCCACCTTGCCAAAAAAAAGAATGCTTGCCTGTACTGCTGGGTTTGAGCTCCAGCACCAAAAAGCTCAAAAAACAAAAACCTCAGAATTTTGGCTTTAGAGTTTTATGCAGAAATTTTTTTTTTTTTTTTTTTGGTCTTTTTCCTTTTTATTGGTACCAGGGATTGCTCACGACTGCCTGCTTGCAAGGCAGGCGCTTATGCCGCTGAGCTAAATCCCCAGCCCTCTATGCACAGATTTTTAACTGCTAACTTCTTTAAAGATTCTATGACTAACTGGTGTTTTTAATCCTCAATCAGCTTTATATTTTTACCATTTTCTAGGAATTTGTTCATCTAAAATTTTAAATTTCTTTGCATAAAGGTATTATATATTCTCTTTTTAAAACTCCATAATACTTCTTCTACCCCAACATTATTTACTTGGGTTCTTCTGCTTTGCTCCTGATAATCTTAGTACAAATTTACCTATTTTATTAATACTATAGTTCCAATAAAATAATTTTAGAACATATTGGTGTCTTCCAGTACTACACAGGTTTTTTTGTATTTTATTTTAAAGAGGATAAAGCAGAATAAAACCAATAAAAACAAACCAGTATAAAAAATACAGGACTCCAAAACATTACAAAATCAACAATAGCTACCATAATGCATTCTGAGGTCTTTAAAATAGCTGCAGGTAACTTCAGATATAGTGAAAAATCAAACAGAACAGAAAAGAATAGAAACAATAAAAACAACAACAACAAAAAATGAATGCAATGAAGGATTTCAAAATAAGCCTATAGCAAATCCAAAATCACTAACATAATATATCTTCCTGTGTTTGAAATAGCTGCTCCTGCCGCCAGATTTAACATAATCAAACAAAACAAAAGAGGGTAAAACCCAACCCAACAAAACAATGGAAACGATATATGACTTCCAAAACAAGACCATAGGGAATCAGCAATGGCTGCAACCCTCAGAAGAAGATCTCCCTAGATGTCACACTGAGTATCACTCTAAACATATGAGCAGATCACTGGCCACAGACCTGCAATGGTATGTATGTATGTATGTGCGTGTACCTGCTGTTTGTCAGCTCACGTGCTAGAAGAGGCTGGGGTTTGCCTGTTACAGTCTGCCAGCGGCCTGCACATGGTGCTGGTTCCCAGACAGGGTTTGCTTGCTGATACGGCTTTGTTTTTTCTACCCTTGGTCTGTCTGCAAATAGTACTGACTCACAGGGAAAGGCTGGGGTCTCTAGGTTTCCTTTTTAATGAATTTAATGTCCCTTATTCATTTATCATCTTGTTTCTTTTTCCATTCTCTTATTTGCTTATGCTAGATATCTTATTTCCTTTAGCTGTTTTTCTTTTTTGTGAAGAAACACTTAGACCTATAAATTTCTTTTAAGAGTTATCAGTTTATCTGTTCCCAACTAGTTGCTTTTTGATTTTGTTTTGTTGTTGTTTTTGTTTTTTTAGATGGGGTGTTGCTATGTATTATAGGCTTGCCTCAACCTCGTATCAATCCTCCTGCTCAGTCTCTCAAGTACTCAAATTAAAGGTGTGTAGCACCACACCTGACTCTCTACTAGATTTGGTATGTTTTATTTTTCATTATTGCTATTATTCAGTTGTATTTTTTGGTGAGGGGTACCAGGAATTAAACTTAAAGCTTGCAGCTTGCCAAGTAGGTGCTTATGCTGCTAAGCTTCATCCCTGGCCCACTATTGTTCAGTTTTAAGTTTTTTTTTTTTTTATTGGTACCAGGGATCGAACTCACGACCGCCTGCTTGCAAGGCAGGTGCTTATGCCGCTGAGCTAAATCCCCAGCCCCAGTTTTAAGTATTTTTAACTTTTCTATGTAATCTGTCTTTTTAACGTGTTTACTGTAAAATTTCTACACATTCAGGTTTTAAATTTTTATCTTTTCATTATTAGTTGATAGCTGTCATGCAGTCAGAAATATGACTGGTATAATAATCATTCAAATTTGTTAGTAATTTGTTTTACGACTAAGTAGGTGGTCAGTGTTTTGGAATGTCAACCTGGGAAGAATATGTGTTCTTTAACTGTAGAATACATATATCAGTATATATGCATATAATACATATAGTATAGTAAGTTGAGTGACAGCCATCAAAACATATTCATGTCTTACAAAACCAAAATGGCAAGAGATTCTGCAGATGTGTAATCCTGACACAGAGCAATTAACCTAAATTAGGTCAGTGGGTACTTACATGTAATCACAAGGATTCTTTTATGGTTCAGATCTAAAAAAGCCACCCGAAGTCTCATGTGTTGGAAAATGACTGGGTTATAAGGGCGTGATAGCTGGTACATTGCTGTTAGGAGGTACAGTCTGGCAAGAAGTGTTTCCTTCCTCAGCTCCAACTATTACTCTCCACTTCCTGGCTGCCACCGTCTGAGCAACCTTCCTTTGCCCAGGCCCTTTCTACCATGCTGTTTCTATGTTTAAGCCAACCAAACATGGACTGGAACCTCTGAACTGTAAGTCAAAACAAACTTCTCCTTTAATTTGTAGGTGTCAGGGAATTTTGTCCCAGCAATAAGGAAAGTGACTAAGACAGAGTCCAACAAAAGGAAGGGAGGAAAGTCAGACACAGTGGCACCTACCTGTAAATCCAGCACTCTGGGAGGTTGATGCAAGAGAATGCCAAGTACTACCCCAGTCTAAGCAACTCTGGAAGACTCTATCTTAATAATAAAAAAGAGGTGGGGTTTGGGCATATAGCTCAGTGTCACAAGTGTCTGCCTGGCAAGCGTGAGGTTGTGGGTTGGATCCCAGGTACAAAAAAACAAAAACAAAACAAAACAAAAAACTTAAAAAGGATCTGGGTATGTAGCTCCATTGGGTTACCTGTAGCTGAACTGGGTTCGGTGCCCAGGGGATAGAGGTGGGGAAGGTCAAAGAAAAAAGGGACATATTAAAGAGGGTATAAGGGCCATCAGCCAAGGAATACTAGTAACCTCTACATGCTAAAAAAGGCAAGGAACTAGATTTTCCCCTAGAATAACCAAAGGTACTGGTCGACAGCTTGATTTTAGACTTCTTGGCTCCCAAACTATAAGAAAATAAATAAATTTGTGTTGTTTTATACTAATAAGCTTGTAGTAACTTGTTTCAGCAGCAGTGAGAAACAAACATACTTAAAAAGTGCTTAAGTTTCTGTATCTTCTCTGGACTTCTGTCTGCTTATCCAGCAACTGGCAGAAGGCGGCTCCCACACTAAAGGAAACAGCTTCCATTTTTTTTCGGTAAAGTACCATCTCCTAGGGCTGGGGATTTAGCTCAGCAGCATAAGCACCTGCCTTACAAATGCGTGGTTGTGAGTTGAATCCTCGGTACCAAAAAAAAAAAAAAAAAAAAAAAAATTTTCCAAGCCCTAGGAAACAGGTGGAAACAAAAACAAAAACAAAAACAAAAAAACAACAAAAAAAAAAAAATCAAAAGAAACTAAAAGTACCATTTCCTTGTTTCACATACTAGGCACTCCTTTATAATCCCTTCCCCTCAACATCTTATCATTTTGAGGTAAGGTGAATACCTTTTTATATTTGAAATAATCTCCTTGAAAGTCTGTCTTATGGGAAGACAATACAACTATTCTTCAGTTATTTGCTTGTTGTATTTTTCTCTAAACTTCTATATTCAATTTTTCTATATTTCTATTTTTACTCAACTTTAAAAATAAATAAAGCATAAACTTTGGTAAATTTGTCAACCAAGGAGTACAATCAAATGCAACAAAAAGCATGTCCTTCAAAACTAACAAACTGAAGGCCATTCCAATGTTACAGAAATTTCCCTTAGCCAGAAAAGATCCACCTTGAAGGTACTCATTAGCTACCATTTAATGCCTACCAGCTAAAGTAGCATCCTCTTCACTCTCTGAGCCATACTGAAGTGCCATGGTAATTGCAGATAAACGACCCCCTTGGACTGCTCTTTTATTACTAAAAAGAAAAACAAGCAATTAGAAAGTAAAAAAAGACGTTATAACAATTTGATTACATGAACCAGTAACTGTTAACAAAGTATTACTTATAAAAGTAATTTTTAAGCTAGACATGGTGGTGTGTGCCTGCTATCTCATCACTCTGGGAGGCTGAGAGGAAGGAGGTTCACAGGTTTGAAACCAGCCTGAGTGAGACTCCATCTCAAAATTTTAAAAAAGTGTTAAACCTGTTATCCTCTTGCCTCAGCCTTCCACAAAGCTGGGATTACAGGCATGCATTAGCATGCCTGCCTTGTATTTCTTATTATTCCCCATAATCGAGTTTTGGCTAGGCAAAATTTTTTTCTTTTCAGAAAACAGGGAAGAGTGGTAGAAAGCTATAAGTATGCCATTTACAATTTGCTTTTTACTTAAATACAGCACTATTGCTTATTTTATGAAAAATAAAAGGTTTGGTTATTCTAGTATGTTCATTCCTTAAAACACTCATAATGTAACACTCATATTGACAAAACTTTTACTATGAACACAAAACTTAGTCATTTAATACAAGTATTAACCTCACATCTTGTTTTAAATTAATATTAAATACTACCCCATAATATTAAAACATTACACGAGAGATAAGACCTACTATAGTACCTCAATTTTTCAATAAATCACCTGATAACAAGTTCTCAGAATAATCCAAAAGTATTATGTCAAGAGAGCCATTAGACAAAAGTTCGTACGTCTACTGTCACAGCGCGGTTAACTGTCAGACTAAATTTTCTCTCACCGGTAGTATTTGCTAGTGGCGTTTCTCTCTTCACCAAGGCTGCCTTTACTGTGTGTTGAACCTGTTAGTCGGGCTGCAGCCAAATTGGATGCAGTCCTATCCAGAGATAAGATTAAAAAATGTTTAGGAACTAGATAGCACAAATCAGAATTCTGAATATATTTAATAAAAAAAAAAGATTCTCATTTTTTGTTTTTGAGATAAGAGTCTTACTATATGGTTCCGGCTGGCTTTGAACTCACTATGTACCCCAGGCTGGTCTTGAACTTGTAGCATCCTGCCTCAGCTTTCCAAGTGCTGAGATTACAAGTGTGTGTCACCATGCCTAGGTTTTCTCTTCTTTTCTAATGTATTTCTGACTCTCATCTATGCAGCAGGCTCTGTTCTAGGATCTGGGGACTCTGTGAAAGAGGACAGACCAGGTCTGGTCCTTGAGCACCTAACATCATTTCAGAACCTGAAAACTTGGTACTGAAACAATGAGAAGGCGAGAAGAAATCTAGGAAAGCAGGCAACCTTCTCATTTCAGGCAAGGGAAATGAAATTCCACAACTAAGCCTTATTCAAAGTTGTGATCCTGCTTACAGAAAAGCCAGAATTGAGAGTTCAAATCTGCTGGCTAAATACCTGTATTGCAAATATGACTATATACTATTGTGTGTGTGTGTGTGTGTGTGTGTGTGTATATATATATATATATATATATATTTTTTTTTTTTTTTTTTTAAGACATTGTTTCCTGCATGGTTTATCTCCTCAGTCACTGCCCAAAGGACTCTGAGAAGTTGTAGGAATATGCAGGCGCAGACACAAGGTCCAGCTTCTTCTCCAACATCGTGGAAAGTGACTGTACATCATGGGGCAGAGCCCTATGTTCCCCTATGCCACCTGGACTATACTATTATATATTATACACAAATAGCTTGTTATATATACATTTAATATGTATATTAACTATTAAATATATAAATTTGTATTTTTATAAGTCAATAAAAGTACATAGTAGTGCTAAAAACCAGAAAGTTTCTATTTTTTTGGTTTTTTGAGACAGGATCTCTTCATGTAGTCTAGGCTAGCCTTGAACATACGGCAATCATCCTGCCTTGGCTTCCAAGTGCTGTAATTACAGTGGTGTACCACCATGCCTGGCTCAAAATGTTTTTTTTTTTAAAAGCCCTTCAATTGCAACATAGGAGCCAGATAAAGACTTACCTCTGTTTTTTTCAGAATCACATTATCAATATTAAATATAGTCGTAAATTCCGAATCACATTATCAACAGTAAGTATAGTCTTTTAAGACATAAATCTTGTTTTACATTGTACTGATATCACTAGCTAGAAAATTTACAAATATAAAAGCACAAAGGCCTCACTATGTAGTTCAGGTTGGCCTTGAACTTACTATGTAATTTTGGCCTTAATCTCACAGCAATCCTTCTGCCTAAGCCTCCCCAGTGCTAGGATTATAGGTCTGTGCCACCACATCCAGCTCTTAAATATTTTTTAACCTACCTTATCCGAAGACTTGATTTAGTCATTTCATGATGTTCAATCTCTGCTTTTTTCATATAAAATATTTTTTTAATTGAATTTGCATCCTGTCAAGACAAAATTATTTGGCTTTAAAAAAGGAACATAAAGAAAAGTTTAAAATGCCCTCACTCAAGTACTGAGTACTTTTCATAGTACTCTTTCCATTTGAAGCCAATTTCTATTCAGTTGCATAAATCTGCATTCTCTAGCCTTCCTGTAAGTTTCCAAACATCTTTATAAAGCTGTCAATAGTTAAATACAAGATAAAAAGGCCTCTTTCTTTCACAATTAGTCAAGTAATATGCAAACAAATATCTAATGGTAAAAATATGAAATCTTTTTAGGTATACTGATCTAAAACTGAAACGAAGATGAACTTTTAAGTTTCTAAATACTGTATTATGCATGCAAATTTAGAACGAGGGTACTTGCTTAAATTAATAACACAATAAAATTTAGTTTAGGCAAAAAAGACCTATATGTATCAACAATTAGCACTGAACTATAAAATGTCCCATCACAGACTAAGAATACAAGAACTTCATAGTTCATTCTTCCTGATCTTCCTCAAAGCTTCTTAAAAGATGAAAGGAAAAAGTTAATATTAAGTACCAATAACAATTTTGAGTATCTAGGAGAGTGTTTATAAAATCTAACAATTTTAGCATCAAAAGATGTCCTGACTGTCTCTTCCTAAATTTCTAGTGATTTGATTAATTCAACACATTTCTACAAGCAACTATTCATTATAGGTCTACAAAATTTCTAAGAAGAAACTACAAAATAATGAATCAATAACTTTATAATTAGTGTTATACTGTAAAAATGGCTTTTTATATTTATGAATTTTAAATACAGGAAATAAATCAATATTTAACTTTAAAAATGGATCAAAACCTTTTTCTGACAGAAGAATAAATATTTAGATGAATGGAATGATACCAAGATTTCTGAAATAGATCCCTATATCTACAGTTAACTGATTTTCAACAATTGTGCCAAGATAATTCAATGAAGGAAGGATAATCTTTTCAATATATGGTGCTAGGATAGTCCTCCAGGTAAAAGAATGAATTTAACTCCTACTCCATTATCTCAAAGTTAATTCAAATCGGATCAAAGGTTCAAATGTCAATGAGTTAAAGCTATAAAACTCTTAGAAAAAAAGGCATATTAATCTTCAGAGTGTAGAATATGTGGTTTCTTTGATATGACAACTAAAATATTAATAACCAGAAAAAAAAAGGATAAACTAGACTTCATCGAAATTAAAAATTTGGGGGAGTCAAAGGACACTATCATGAAAGTGAAAAGAGAGTGGGAAAAAAATATTTGGAAGACATATCCAAGAATCTTACACCAACACAATAAAAAAAGAGAAGTAATCCAATTTTAAAAATGGGAAACATTTAATTTAATTTTAATTTTATAAATGGGAAGAAAGTTCACACTGTTAAGTGAAATAAACTAGACAGACATGTTTAAATATCACATTGTTTCTCTAATGGGAGAAACGGAAAGGTTAAATAAGGACCAAAATATCTAACAATTACTGGGAAATAGGAAAAAAAATATTCAAATGGGAAGAGGAACAAGGAATAGTGGAGGGGGAAAAGAAGGAAGGGAAAGGACTTCCTCTAATGAATACGATCATTACATATATATAAAATGTACCAATAAACTTAGTAACTTTTAAAAAGAATATAAATTTTAAAAAATGGCAATTGATCTGAATAGACATTTCTCCAAAGAAGATACAGAGATAGGCAATATGCACATGAAAAGATGATCTGCATCAATACTCATTAACAAAAGGCAAATCAAAACTACATCACAGTTCATACTCACTATAGTGGCTATGACACAAATAAAAATAGAAAGCAAGTGTTAGCGAGAATGTTAAAAAATTTTAACACTTGTACATGCCTGAAGAGAATGCAAAGTGGTATGGCAACCTTGGGAAACAATCTATTAGTTCCTTAGAAGATTAAATATATAGTTACTATATGATCAAATAATTCCATTTCTTGGTATGTGTCCAAGGGAAATAAAAACATATGTCCACATACAAGCTCATATGTGAATGTTCACAGCAGTGTTATTCACAATAGGCCAAAAATGGAAACAGTACCAAATGCTGGATAGTGAAATATAGAATATTATTCAGCAAAAAAGAAAAGTAAGTGCTGATGTATATGTTACAATATAGATGAAATTTGAAAACAATACGCTAAATGAAGAAATTATGTCACAAAGGAGCTCACAGCCATAGTAGTGTAAAATTCCTTTTATATGAAATGTCCAGAACAGGTAAATGTGTAAACACAGAAAGTAAGATGGTGGTCACAAAGAGATAGGGAAGTTGGAGAGAAATGAGTGATGGCTAACTGGATAGGGCTGATGGCTACACAACTCTGTGAATATACTAAAAATGAATAAACTGTATATGTTAAGTGGGTGAATAAACTGTATATGTTAAGTGGGTGAAATCTCTAGTGTATGACATATCTTGACAAAATTGTTATACAAAATTATTGACTCTAAATGCAAGTATCTACTAATATCAATGAAAATAGCAACAACAAAGAACTAACCTTGAATACTTGAGAACCAGGCTCATTATAAGTTTTGGCATTTTTTGCTAGGAGATCTATATCTTTGGCCATTGCATGAATACTTTTGTAGCTTCCATTCTACAGTAAACAACAAAATACAGTGGTTCCTCTTAATGACAGTTAATCAATATAACCTTTAAAAAAGAACTCCATATGCTTTTGTATTTTTAAATTGTTGCCAGAATCCAAGATTTTATTGGAAAATATGTATGTATAGTATGTATTCACACCACTACCCACTTACAAATGAAGTTTTGCAACAAATAACAAATCAGAACTAATTATCTTCATAAAAATCTATAAATTTCCAACAAATTAAGTAAAAATGTTATTTACCAAACACATAACACTTACAATAAATACTAACTCATCAAAGTAGACTTATTAGTGTGAACTAAAACTCCCTTTAGTTATCTGGACCACTTGGAATAAATTATAAAAAAAAAAAGTCTGTTATGGAGTCTAACATTCTGCACATACAGTGTGCCAAAGCTGTCGTATTTTAAATCTCACTCAGTCCAAAATAACCCAAGGATACTCATAGCTGCCTCACCTTACTAAGGAAAGAAACACAGGACACACATGAAGCAAAGGGCACATAATAATGGCAAACACACAGAAATATACAGGACTAGTTCTAGAAACAGGAAAGCAAATTAAGTGGCATGGAGGGTAGGGAAGTATGGAACCGTAACACAAGCTGTATACAAAAGGTAAAGTGAGGGAGAAACAGGGTAGAATCCAGAGAACCAGGCAAAGGACTGTAGCTGGTTATCTGCTATGTGGTACTCTTCAACATCTGAATACCCATCTTTCAGAAAAGCGAATCTAAGAACAGATAGAGGACCCTACCTCTCATAGGGGTGAAAGGTGGCATACGTTTGCTTTGCTAACAGCCTAGCAACAGGGCAACTCATGCTTGGCTACTGAGTGACTAAAAAAATGGCCAGGGAATGAATGGCAGTAAGGAAACACGTTGCACAGTGGCAAAAACACAGTAACAGCAAAGATACCACGAAGTGGTTTTGGGTAATCATGGCTATGTCATGATGTCCCAGAGTTCCACTTATTTTCCAAAAAGTAGCTTACCACAGCTTTCCAATCCAATAACTCTATGATGTATCTAACACCCTTTTCATAAATTTTTCTGCTTTAGTCAAAATTGATTACCTTTGAGCAGTTGTTGTGACCAGCATTAGAAAACAAGTGGGATGGCAGGAAGGTTAGGATCAAGAAGATGTAGGAAAGACTAGTTGGCATTTGATTTAACATATTCCCCCTAGACAGATGTCAGGAAGTATGTTCTGTAGCAGTCAGTGGGCTGCCTCAAAACCAGATGATACATTATGGAGTCTGCACAGATTAGAGATCTGTGTTTTAACATCTTGTGAACATACATCTGTAAAACCAGTACTTACTACATAGCTACTCTTTACTACTTAGAATTTAAAACCAAAGAAGTTTCTCCCTCCTGTGCTTCAGTCTATTACTTAATGAGATTAAAGGACACATTTAAGTTTGCCCTTTTGGTTTACCTCCAAGGATCATTAAACCCTCCTTTTACCCTGAGATGATGACTCATACTCACATTCTATGGATGGCAAATGTTTTTGTATATTTTATCATTGATCTCTGTGACTGGGATACTACACCCCATATGCAGCAGAGGAAACAGGCAAGGCACCTGACCAAAGTGACATAGCTAGTAAAGAGTAGAGAAAAAAACAAAAACCATGTTCAGTTCCTTTTAAGGGAACTAGGTTTCTGGTATAAGTTACAGCTTTCCTTATATTGTATGCTTAATATTTTTTCTTTTTTTTTGGTACCAGGGATCAAACTCATCATCTTGTGCTTGCCAGGCAGGTGCTTCAGCTGCTGAGCTAAATCCCCAGCCCTGTATGCTTAATCTTTGATCATCAAACTATAAGCCTTAATCACTCTATATTTTCTGAGTACCTATCTCTGAATGGGACAGTAAATGCAAAGGTAAAGAGTCTGGAGCCAGACTGGTCAAGTTCCAGCTCTTAACAGGTAGTGACTTGGGCAAGTCACTTAATATCCTCATCCTTCAGATTTCTAATCTGTAATATGGGAATAATAACAGTATATATATCTCTTGCAGTTTTTCTAAGACAGGTAATATATATAAATTACTTAGAAGAATACTAGGTTCATAGCCTTTTTTTTTTTTTTGTCTTTTTTTGGTTTTTATCGGTACCAGGGATAGGTTCATAGTCTTTATCAGTGTTTTTGTTGTAGCTACTACAGCTACAGAAACAGTGAATGGACAAAGGACAGAAAGGGTTGAAGAGAACAAGGTATTTTCATTGACTTTACACTCATTCTATTGTGAGATAATTTACTATGAGACACTAACAGTACTTGGAAGTGGATAAAAATAAACAACGAAGTTCTTAGTGCTCATGATCATTTCACAATCAGAAATAGCAGTAGTCAATTCTTTTTTGTGGTGCTGGCAATCTAATGTAGGTCCTTGCACATGACAGATAAGCTCTCTACCACTGAGCTATATTCCCAACTCTAATGTTTGTCTTAAAACACACTCCAAGATACTTCATCTTATTTGGTAACAATATCCTCTTAGACATCTGCTTTACTGAGTTCTAAAAGCCCCTAAAAATGTCTATGAGCTAGAGGACTTCCGGAAGAACATGGTGGATAGATGGCAGCAGCTACAGAGGCTCTCTGAGATACCCCGCTTAGAATCCAGGAATGCTGCAGTACGAGTAGTCCTAAGCAAGAAGAAATACACCCTGCTGACCCAGGAATGAACTAAGCTAAGAGAAACCAACTGGAAATCCAATCCTGGTGCTATAAGAGATAAAAGCGCAGAAGCTAGAACCCGCCCCACTGGAAGTCATGATCTGAATTTCCTGCTGCGGCTGCTGCGTCCAAATCTGCAGGGCAGGGAGAGAGACGCGTAAAAGCTCTGAGAGCGGGAATCTGCCAACGGAGTTGAGAGCAGGACTAGCAAGGAGCCCTACATCAACTTGCAGTTAGTAAGGGGAACGGGACCCTTTCATAGAGTAGGAGGCGCCAGCAAAGGACATACTGGGACCAGGCAGACTTGCCGGGACGGGGCGCTGCAGTGACTTCAGTCACATATTCCCCTCTCAAGCAGGATTGGTGAGGAGAGCCTGGCCTGCGTGACACACTGACTTAGATCTAGTAGGCGAGTCCAACACAGGTCCCAGCGCCTGGAGGTGCACCCTAGCGGTGAAGCCTTTGGTAGGTTGACCTGGAGGGGTGGGCCCAGCAGAGGCGGCCCAGGTCAGTGTCTCCCTAGTACACTGCAGTGGGCGGAACACCTAGCAGGCGCAATTCGAACAAACTATAACTGAAAGAAGAGAAAAAAATTGGGCCTCCTACATTCACTTGTATGGAAGGAACAAGAAGTATGGGAAGAGAAAGGAACAAGAAAAGGTCCTCAATCCCCAATCCTGAGAACACTGATCCAGGAAAGGGAAATGCAAAGGAAGACAGAAAACATGCAATATCAGACATGGCACCAATAGACATAAAGCGATATCTCCAGAGCCTCACAGACAAGTTTAAAAATGAAGTATTTGAGCTGGGGATTTAGCTCAGCAGCACAAGCGCCTGCCTTGTAAAGCAGGCAGTCGTGAGTTCGATCCCTGGTACCGATAAAAAGGAAAAAGACAAAAAAAAAAAAAAAAAAAAAAAAAAAGAAGTATTTAATGAAATAAAGCAAGAGATAAGTAGAATAGTTAGAGAAATGCTAAGCACCACCCAAGAAAAAACAGATGGTGGAATGGAAGAACAGAAAAAAAGGGGAACTGTTTGATGGAGAAAATGGAGAAAATATAGAATACATGAAGCAGGTTCAAAGAGATTACCAGGAAACTAAAAACTCTATCAAAAGCTGGCATAACAGCTTGAAAGAAACTAAGGATAGATTATCTGAATTGGAGGGCAGACTTGTAATATGGGAGCATGAAATGAAAAACTTCTTAAAAATAACAAGAAAACAAACAGCAGTAATACAAAGACTAGAAGATGATAAGAGGATCTACAACCTAAGAATTAAGAACATAAAAGAAGAAGTAGGGACACAAACAAATGGACTACAAAAGCTATTCACAGAAATAATCCAAGAGAATTTCCCTAATTTAGCAAAAGGTAAAGATACTCAGATGTATGAGGCATACAGGACCCCAGCCACCTACAACCCAAATAGAGCTACACCCAGGCATATAATAATCAAAATTCCAGAAATCCAATATAAGAACAGAATACTAAAAGCCGTCAGAGACAAGAAACAGATCACTTACAAGGGAACACCCATCAGAATTACAGCAGACTTCTCGGTACAAACCATCAAATCACCAAGAGCATGGGGGGAAATGATTCAAGCTTTGAAAGATAATAACCTCTAGCAAAGATTGATATATCCTGCACATCTGACCCTAGAAATTGATGGAAAAACATGGTGCTTCCAGGATAAAGAGGAATTAGGGGAATTTGCAACCACCAATTCAACTCTACAGAGAATACTGCAGGATATTCTAAAAAAGGAAAATACCAAGACTTCAGACACAGTGGCAGAGAGGCCACAATGAATAGAGCAGAAAGTGAAATGAAGAAGACAAACTGACAACAAATGACAGAAAAAGAGCTCAACAGAAATGAGGCAGAGAAGATTAGATGGTAGGAACAGCTATTTTGGAGGAAACAAGACATCATAATAGCTAATGCTGATTCAGTATCATCTTGAAGTCCCATCAAGCTTTTATTCTTCTGTCTCCATCGGTCTTAACAGGTTGTAGCTTATTGGATTTTATTATATGTGATAATATAAGCAAAAACTTTTATAGACAAGGAGATTATACAGAAACTGTTGTTCATTTTCTGATAGTTGATTCTAAATACCCTATAATACTGTCATTCTCTTGAATGGTTTTACATTGTCTTGATATGTTTGGTGCTACAGTATACAAAGTTATACTCAAAGACTTCAAGGAAAGAGACATTATGGTAACTACTTTTATGTCGGGATGTCTTGTGGTGAAACACTATTTTGCTTAAATGGTTATGCTTTGACCTGCGCTGTTTTGTTGTTATGCCCTCTTTTATCTCAGTCTCCTTTTTAAATTTATTTTCTTTTTAATAAAGGGAAAAATTTTTAAAAAGCAGGATATATTATTATAGTAACCCACTTTGATTTCCTATTAACTTGATCTGAAACCCTGTATAGCCCTCACCATCTTGCTTTGACTAATTTTCCTCTATTCTGCTTTCCTTGATAGTACCAAGTTCAAAAATATAGGCAACAACTGTAAAGACAATAAGATTCATTATGACACCCATTCCGGTTGACTATTATCTTCTTTTAAAGCCCTGTAATATCTCCAATGTTTTGGTTTTATTCTTTATTGTTTTGTTCAATTTTATTATAACTAATGATATAGGCAATTCTTTTTAAGATAGCAACAGGCAGTATGGTAACCATTGTTGATCACCTAGTATTTTTTTTTTATATTATCTATTATGTTCATCCTTTTGATTTGACTGACTCTGTTCTGTTATGTCACATTTGGTTTTACTCTCTTCAAAAAAAAGTATAAGAACTGGGAGCAATAAAACCCAAAATGTGTAATTGTCATTGTACAAAAGAAAGGAAAAGAAAGTGCTCTAAAGAATATAACCGCATATATATTTAAGTGTATAAGATAAATAACCATATTACTGAGTTTTGTTGGATCATTGAACAAAACTGTTTCCAGTCTGTTTGAAAGTCCACTTTATATGCTTTAATTTTATAACTTGAACAACTATTTCTAAGATAACAATATGTAATCTATTAACTAGTGATTTCCTATTGTTTATTTTTTCTGAAATTCTGTATAACTTGTACCCTATTTCTGCTTTTCTTTTTCTCCTTAATTAAAAAAAAAAAAAAAAAAGAGTCTCCATCCCCCCCAAAAAAGTCTATGAGCTAACTACTCTAAACCACATATGATAATATATGGTCATCTTCATACCTGTATCCTCTGGGCAATGGTCTTGAGATCTATAGGCTCCTTAATTATTGCATAATAGTCTGGATATTGCTGGAAGACAAAAACCCAGGTATGCTCAGTGAGTGCAATCAGCCAATGAGAAGACAAAAGCACAATGACAATCTGTTCTTTGACCAATAAATTAAGTAGCTTTGTGAGATTCACAACTAAAACACATAGCTGTATGACAATTATATTTAAAGCAAAAATAATGCTTAATTTTAAGAAGTTTCATGAAATATGCAACAGCAGCAGGTTAAAGTTTACATTTAGTTTTTGCTAGTTATCATTATGTAACTAACAAACTACAATTTAAGGTTTTAAAAATTTTGAGTTCACAGATTCAGGTAGTTTTGAAGAGCCCAAGATCTTTATTCCTGGAAATAAAGCATAAGTTCGTGATGGACCTGTAACAAGCCTTTCTTCTTCTGTAATCTAAATAATATATTTCATTGAAGCATTTATAAGGAACTATCCATAGCAAAGATTGTAAAATGTTATTTTCATGTTTAACTTACTGTTTCAACTTAATGTTTTACTCAATTTTTCCAAAATAAAAAGTTTTAAGTGAAATCAGAGGGAAAAATGAAGCAAAAATTATAAGCAATTTTTACTTTATCAAATACTAGTCAACCCCAAGAATTTGTACATGTTCGCCGATGTCCTTGAGGTTTTCACAGTGCCTACAGTCATTCATTATGGCCAGGCTCTACTACAAGCTTTGTTTTTGGAAAAACAAATGAAGTTGAACAAAAAGTCAAAAGTTTCGATCCTCGGTACCACGAAAAAAAAAAAAAAAGTCAAAATTTGGCAGCACCCTCCCTGTTGCCCCACTCATGTGCAAGAAGTTCAAGGAAAGTCAAATTAGGCTTTTCCTCTGTCAGTTGGCAATTGCAATTCTACCTTCTGTTTCTGACTTTTTGTTGTTGTTGTTTTTTGAGTCAGGCAGGTCTTGCTGGTTGACCTTGACCTCACTACGTAGGCTGGCCTTAAACTCAAGGCAATCCTCCTGCCTCAGTCTCCTCAGTGCTGGGATTATAGGCCTTTGCCACCATGCTTGATGTACCTTGGTGATATATGACTACATTCTAGGTACCTCATATTTATATAATCTATCTTTTCTTGACTGGCTTATTTCCCTTAGCATTATGTCCAGGATTTATTCATACTGTAGTATGTATTAAAATTTTTTTAAAATTTTTTTATTTATATATATAATTTATTCATTCATTTGTCAATAGATATCGGGGCTGTTTCTTCAATGATTAAAATAAGCACCTAAACAATTTATTTTTAAAGGAAACATTGGTCAAAAAACAGGGTGACAATCCAAAAATGGACATCTGCGATGAATACAAACTTCTCAAATGAAACAAACACAAACAGCAAATAAATATATGAAAAAATGTTCAACATCACTGGTCATTCAAGAGATGCAACTTAAAACAACACTGAGATTCTATCTCACCCTGGAAAGAAAGGCTATTATCAAGAAATCAAGCAATAACCAAACCGTGGGGGGAGGGGGGCTGAGAGGGGAAAAGGAACCCTTCTCCACTGTTGGTGGGACTGCAAACTGCTGTGACCACTGTGGAAATCAGTGTGGAAAGCCCTCAAACAACTGGATTGGAGGTCCCATTTGGCCCAGCCACGTCCCTTCTGGATATCATCCCAGAAGAATTAAAAACATCATACCACAGCAATTAATATAATGTATGTGCATCCATGTTTACAGCAGCACTATTTGTAATAGCTAGATCTTGGAAACAACCCAAATGCCCATTAAATAGGGACTGGATAGAAAAAGATGTGGTCCTTTTATACAAAAGAGTACTGCTTAGCCATAAAGTATAAACAGGAGACTTTTGTAGGTAAATGTATGCAAATTGAGACCACACTCATTACTGAAATAAACCAGATGCACATGTATAAACACTGAATTGTTTGCCTGATGTGAAAAAGAGTAAATAAGATCCAAAATGCACAGCAGATATTGTAAAATTGAAAGAAACTTCCAAAGGAAAAAGAAATTGAATGGGGAAATGGAGAAAACGAAGAAGGCAAAAGCAAAACCAAACAAAAAATATATGTAAGATAGTTAAAACAGTTATACTACTTTCTCTTAATTCACTGTAAAGAAAGATTTGTGCTAAGATTGTTTGGACAATTAAATGCCGATATCCTGTACTCTGAGTAATTTAAAGATAGCAATACACAATTTAACAATTAACCATTGTTACTCTCCAGTTATCCTGTCTTGAAATTTTATTTTTTTTCTCTTAAAAAAAAATGGATGAGCAGAAGAGAAATAAGCTGTCTTATTCTCTGTGAATTCCTGGTAACAGAGAAAAAAGAAATTAGGTACTCTTATGCTGTAAAAAAAAAGAGGAGGTTTTCTGTCCAAGTGAGACATAAAGTACCAATGCACTTATGACTTCATAGCCAAGAGACAATTAACAAAGCTATAGATCTGACTCATAGCACAGCTTCTGAAACTTCAGAATTTCCATGGCCCACTCACTCTTAAATCTCTAGGTAAAGGTATACTTTGAGAGGTATTCTACTATAACACATCTACTGTGATCATTTGCTTCTGTACCTACCATGCTCTCTACTCCCTGAATTTCTTAGGGACACAAACCATGCCATATTTACTTTTATATCCCTGCCACGTAGTTGAAACTCAGCATGTCACTGGAAGTATTTGTTGATTGTTGAGTAACAAAGTTTTTCCCATCACTCACTAAAAAAACTAGTTACTTAAAGGTGGTCTTGATCACAGGCAGGACAGTTATGATATTGAAAATAAAGTATATGACTTCTGTTATCTTAGGTATAGATCTGATTAGAAAGCCATAATGATTATACCCAATATATGATTTTAATGTTTAAAACAGGAAGAAAATAGCATGGTGACTCCTCAAAAATTTAAACATAGAATTATCATATGATGCAACAATTCCACATTGGGTATAGACTCCAAAGAAGTGAAGGCAAGGTCTTAAAGAGATACACCATATGCAGACCATATTTATAGTAGCATTACTCATAATAGCTAACTATAAAGAAGCTCAAATGTTCATTGACAGACAAATGGAGAAGCAAAATGTGCATTGTTACAAAGGAATATTATCTGTGCCTAACACAGGTTACAATATAGATAAACTCTGAAGACATACATATGCAGAGTGAAATAAGGCAGTAACAGGACAAATACAGTATGGCATCTCTTAGATCAAGTAACCATAATCTTAGAGACAGAAAGTATACCAGTGGTTGCCAAGGACTTAAGAGGCCAGAAATAGAATTGGTATTTAATAAATAATGGAGTTTCAGTTTTTAGGTTTTTTTTTTTTTGGTACTGGGGATAGAACTCACAACTGCAAGCTTGCAAGGCAGGTGCTTATGCCACTGAGCTAAATCCCCAGCCTCTGAGTTTCACTTTTGACAGATGAAAAGATCTAGAGATGGGACAATGGTGATTGGTTACATGACAGTGTAAATGTATTTAATGCCACAGAACTATACATTTAAAATGACTAAAACAGTAAGTTTTATGTACATTTTACCACAATAATAAAATAATAACCTTTTGGTCAAGTAAAATGATAAGACCATATCCTTTGTGCTTGCTTTTGAGACCATGAGGTAGGTATTTGGGAACCTCCAATATCTTCCTTTGAGCCTTATTTATTTTTTTATTTTAAAAAAATAAACAAAATAAAACCCATTAAAAGAAAACAATGAAAGTGGTAACAGGACTTCAAAACAAGATAATAGGAAATCAACAATGGCTACCATAATATCTAGTTATTTTCATAATAGCTGCCCATGCCACCAGATATAATAAAATCAAAGAAAAAAAAAAAAAACAGAATAAAACCAAGCCAACCAAAACAATGAAAATGATACAGAACTTTAAAACAAGATAATAGGGAATTAACAATGGCTACCACCTTTAGAAGGAAATTCCCCATAGTTGCTATATTCCATATTGTTATCCTCCAAACAGATGCTTAGGCCTGCAAAGTCAATTAAATACTAAATACTACAAGCATTAAGTGGTTTTTTCTACCTCAGTAACTATCATACCAGCCTGTGTTTCTCCGGATCAGCCGGTTGCTGCTCGGTTCTCATCAAATAGCCTGCAAACTGGCCAGCTCACAGGAAGGGTTGGCTTATTTTTCTTCCCAGCGGCCCATGACTGCCTGAACCTTACTTTATTCATCATTTTTTAATACTATGAACTGAACTCATGAGTTTACACATGCTAGGAAAAGGGTCTCTTTGACTGAGTTACAATCCCAGCCCATTTTATCTTGAGTTGTCCAGGCTGGCTTCAAATTTGTAATCCTCCTGCCTCAGCCTCCCACATAGCTGAGATACAGGCATGGGCCCCTGCCAGCTACTAATAAAATTTTTGAAGTATTTAAAAAGAAATCAAACATCTAAATTCATCTGTCTTTAATCACATCACTTACCACTTTAGAAGGCAGTTTCTGAAAAAGTTCACTAATAAGATGTCCTGATGGATTTGTGGCTACAACTATGGCTTCCAGTAGCTGCTCTAGTATCTCCTTCAGGTAACCTGGAGAAGACTAGGGGGTGAGGGATAAGAAAATCATACTTTGTGATAGAAAACAAAAGTCAGCAACTGGTTCAATCCCCAGTACAGTAAAAATAAAAAAAATTAAGAAAAAAGAAAAAGATAATCAAAGAAATGCTGATACTAGTGGGGGGATTGTATGCCCTAGAATGACCTACATCAAACTAATTAAGCACCTTATATTATTTCTATAAATCCCTTGGATCAAGTCCTTTACTGAACTCTACTTACAGTAAATACTACAAAATCAAAGTTCAAGCACCATGTGTGTAAAAATGATAAAAACACATACATTTTTAGAGTCTGAGCAACTAAGTTTAAAAAATGGCTGTTTCAACACCTGCTGTTCACATCTAATGAAGTCATAGTATCTGGCAGGATGATGACTACATGTATAGAGTTAGGACTACACATTATCAACCTTGGTATGCTCTGTCTGGACTAAAAACTGAATTCATGATACATCAAAACAGAATAAATTGATACATACCATTTTTGCTTTTAAGACTGACTAGCCTATACTTGGAGTCACTGTTTCAATACAATAAACTGTATGTCCTAAAGAGTACTTAGCCAGGAAAAGTTCAAGTTTGAAGCAAGTTAAGATGAAGTATTATAGTACTTTGAGTCGAAATCATGTTTTGGGCAAAAAAAAAAAAAAAAAAAAAAAGATTGTTAATTTATGTTTTAAGCAATAAAAGCACTAAAATTTTTGTGCTAATCCAACACAAGTTCTTTATTTAGTGCAACCTCAATTTAAAGGTCTAATATAATTAACTCTGCCAAGAGGGCATTAACATCTCTTCAAGTTAACACAATGTCTCAACATTCAGTAAATATTTAATATGCAAGACATGTAATTTTTTTTTTTGAGACAGGGTCTTGCTATGGAATGCAAGCTGGCCTTGAACTCATGGTAATCCGCCTGCCTTAGCCTTCTTTTTTCTGTGTGTGTGTGTTTATTTTCATTGTTTAGTGGCCCTTGTTTGTAACACAAAGTGAATGTTTTTGGTGTGTGGAGTTGGTACGTGGACTAATACACTCCAATCCTTCTGTCTTTACTCCTCCCTGCTTTCTCTGACTCCCCTCTAGTTCCACTTTCTTTTAACTTCCTGCCACTCCCCAATGAAAACAGGCTCAGCCAGGACCCTTTATTCTGCACTGTGTACATGTCTGAGCCAGGCACAGGTGCTGATTCATTGTAGAAGCCCTGACCGCAGCTGTGGACCGGTGCCAGCTTCGGTCCCTTAGGAACCTGTCCCCCAGCAGATGATGGGTCCACTTCTCAGAGGAGATGAGCCCTGCTGCCAGCTCTGCCCTGGAGAGATCCAGGGTGAGCACCTCCTAACCAAACCTCCTCCCCTGATGCTTCAGCCTTCTGGGATTACAGGTGTGTGCCACAATGCCTGGCAAGGCACGTAATTTGGGAAGAGTTCTAAATACATTAGTTCAAACATCCAACAGGATACTGATGAAATAAAACTGAAATTGCTATGTCTTAAATCATTTATTTTCTGGTTAAAACACAGCATATCACAGAGTTAGCATCAAAAAAGGAATTATGTTCTACAGCCAAGACTCCTTTCCTTCTCCAAAGAGCTAATTTTGAAACATTTTCCAGGTGACAAGTGGAAGAGGCATATGAATACACACATTCTATTTCAACTGGAAAAACTTTTGAGGAAATTACTCTTGATTTAAAAATGAGCAATCTAAAAACTTCCCCTTGCAGGTGTGGAAACACATGGCTATATCCCAGAACCTGGGAGTCACCTTGAGTTTGAGGCCAGCCTGGGCTATGTACTGAGTTTTAAAGCCAGCCTGAACTACACAGTAAGACACTTTCTCAAAAAAATGAAAACAAAAACCTCAAAAAATAAAACATATGACACAGCTGAATTTATTCAGGAATACGAGATTTGTTCAATATTAGAACAGATTTTCTTACTGGGCAAAGTGGTGCATGCCTAATCCTAGCACTTGGGAGGTTGAGGTAAGAATATCTCCATGAACTGGAGGCCAGCCTGGACTATATAATGAGTTCAAGACCAGCCTAACCACAAAGTGAAACACTGTCTCAAAAATAAATAAATAAAAAAACAAACAAAAAACTTCTTTCCCTTTCACAAATACCTTAAGGCAAGAAAGAAGCTTGGGAGATATAAATACAAATATACAAGACCCTCCTAATTTCTTATGAATTATGTAAATAAAATACAAAAAAATATATAGTTAAATCCTAAACGTAGACAGGCTTTTATAATGTAGTTCAGGCTGACCTTGAACTCACTGTGTAGCCTACCTAGGCTGGCCTTGAACTTGTGGCAATTCTGCCTTGGCCTCCTGAGTGCTCAGACTTCAGGCCCAGCTCATTTTTATTTTGACTAGGGCTCTGAATACCTAAAGTATAGCTGGGCCTCAGCAGGCAATGTTCTGTCCAAGAAAGCATGAGTTAAATTGCTTCTCCTGTATTCAAAAGAGATTAAAATGTCAAGGACCTTTTAATAATTGCCTTCTACCAAGTTCTAACCATTTAATTTCTCCAAATAAGCTGACAAAGAACCTGGCAAACATCATTTTTAGGGATCCTGGAGATTAAACCCAGGCCCCCCATACTAAGTAAGTGTTCTGTCACAGAAATATAAGCGGACATCCCTACCCTATCTTTTTTTGAGACAAAGTCTCACTAAATTGCCCAGGCTGACCTCAAATTTGTAATCTCCTGCCTTAGCCTCCCAAGTAGCTAGAATTATAAGTATCCACTATCAGGTGCAGTTTAGCAGCTGTATTCTGAAACTCCAAGAAGTAGTTTTGATGAATTCATCCAACATTATTTTTTTCTGTGTTACAGAGTTCCAACAAAAGGCCTGTTTAGGTAACTTACAAAAGAATGTAGAATGCTACATTGTGATTTTCACAATTTAGAGGCAGAAAAGAGTGTGATTCTTATTTTCTTTCTCTTTCCAAATGTGTTTTGCTTCACAAATACTTACCATTACCTACATGTAAGGCAAAAGTCGAGACCCTAGAAGTGGATGAACAATAACTGCATGACACACTGTCCAGGGTCACTTGAAAGTGGAGTGGGGCATTCTGGCTGAATGTCCATCTACGTTTCTAGTTACCATTACAACAGCACAGGAAACCCAGCTTCACACAATAGACCAGAAGTAATCACAGGTAGGACACTGTCTACCTTCCCATAGTCCATCAATGACTAGTTCCAGCTGCACACTTACTCCTTCAGTCACTGTGCCTTGATTGTCTTGTCCATCTTCATCATCATCTTCATCGTCTGCTTCTCCTTTCTGAACAAACTCATTTCTTGTTCGAAGATACAAATCCCAGAGCTTACAAGCAGCTTTATATTCAGGTGAATCTGGCTATACATTGGCAAAAAGAAAATTAAAACCCTCAATTTCATATTTTTATTGTGAATCAACTGCTATTTAAAATTTTTTTTTCTAGTATTGGAAATTAAGCTACATTTCAGGTTTTTTTCTTAATTCTTTGTCTTTTATTTTAAGGCAGGGTCTCCCTAAGTCACTAGGTTGCCCAGCCCCGCCTTGAACTTGTAATCCTCCTGCCCAAGCCTCAATGAGTACTGGTTCTACAAGTATGTGCCACTATGCATGGCTCAATGGCTCCAGCAGAGACCAGAATTCTAAGGCACAACTATGAAAAATCTATTACAAAGTTTACACTCTATATAGTTAGAAGATATAGGGGTTTCAAATCCTCTTCTGAGATACCAAGCACATATTTTAAAGACATTATGAAATCACATTATTTACTTATGCCCTATCCTCTTACAAAAACACTTGGGCAGAAGATAAATGAGCTACTAAATTAAATCTACGTATTACTCATACATTAAGAAAGTCAAATAATAGGACAAGACCTCCCGTAAAGGAAGTTAATGATGTCCTGATATTCTTCTTCTTTTTTTTTTTTTTTTTTTTAGTACCAGGGATCAAACTCCCAACTTTGTGCTTACCAGGGTAGTGCTTAAGCCACTGAGCTAAATCCCCAGCCCTGATATTCTACTTTTAAGACATTTAATACCTTCAGATTTCTGGACATGAAGGGTAATATGCATGAAATTTCTTAGTAACAAACCATGCTGAATTTAAAAAAAATGTTTTAAAATGCATTCATGAACTAGAAATAAAAGTGAGAACCCAGGTGGGTGTAGTGGTACATGCCTATAATCCCAGCACTTGGGAGGCTGAGGCAGGAGAATCGCCGAGTTCAACATGAGCTTGCATTACATAACCAAGCTCAAGGCCAGCCTGCATTATATAGCTAGACCTTGTCTCAAAAACAAATGTACAGGCTGGGGATTTAGCTCAGCGGCACAAGTGCCTGCTTTGCAAGTGTATAGTCGTGAGTTTGATCCCTAGTACAAAAAAACCCCCAAAAAACAAAACAAAAAACCAAATGAACAAACATCCAAAAGTGAGAACCCAGGAAAATTAAGAACTCAGAAAACAAAGTTCATCTTAAGGGCATTTGTAAGATAAGACAAACCATCTTTTAGTGTTTGAAGGCATCCTGGACTATAAGGATGGAAGACAAAGGCTAGAGTCTACAGAAGCTGGAATTCCAAAATCACAGTTGCACAGTAAGTGGGACCTCAAATCAGTTCCTGTGCTGCCAAAGAGCAAAGAAGACTGCCCACATCAACCTTCAATTATCTGAAACCAAAGCACTGCAAGCAGTAAAGAGTCGTAAAATGAGTCTCTAAGAGTTCTTCATTGGAACCTAGTCTGCAAAGGCAGGCCAGGTAGCTGATATAAACAACAAATTGAAGATAAATCCAAAAAATATGAGCCCATAGTCAAAAACTTTGAGACATATAAGAATCAAAGAATCACCAGAAAAAGCTAGCAAAAATGACAGTGAAACTAGACAAACACATTAGTAGAATAGCAAAGACAAAAAGACATTATAAAGATAGAAAGAAAAGATCTTTAAAGCTACTGCAGTGATACTAACAGATGACTAATAGCAAAAAGGAATGAAGAAAAAAACCCAGTAAATTTGTAAGTAAAAAGTACTTATGCCAAGCATGGTGGCACCTGATAGCAAGTTGTAATAGGAGGGCTGCAGTTCAATCCCAGCTGGGCAACTTAGTGAGACCTTCATGCAAACAAAACATTTAAAAGCAGGAGTGGTGGTGCATGTCTGTAACCCTACTACTCTGACAGGCTGAGACAGGAGGATCATAATTTTGAGCCTAGGCTGGGCAATTAAGTAACTCAGCAAAACTTTGTCTCAAAATAAAAAATAAAAAATAAAAAAAGGGCAGGGGATATAGTTCAATGTGAAGGTCCTGGGTTCAATGCTTAATACCAAGATATAAACACATTTTTAAGAACTGAAATAAATAAAACACCTTTAGTCGGTAGCTATACATCCAAACATAATAATTACTAAAACTGTAAAAAACTGAAATGTTCTAGCTTTAAAAGATAATCAATTGGGGCTGGGGATTTAGCTCAGTGGCATAAGCGCCTGCCTTGCAAGTGTGCAGTCGTGAGTTTGATCCAAAAAAAAAAAAAAAAAATGACACTCAATTGGACCGGGGATGTAGCTCAGGGGCATAAGTGCCTGCCCTGCAAGCGTGTGGTCCTGAGTTCAATTCCTGGTACTAGAAAAAAAAAAAAAGATAAACAATTACACAAATATAAATTCATACATATGGGGCCAGAATATAGCTCAGTGGCACAGTGCCTACCTTACAAGTACAAGGTCCTGAGTTCAATGCCTGGTACCAAAAAATAAAAAAAAGTCACACATATGCTATTTACGGGATACATATATGACAGAGATTTTAAAATGTTTAGTAAGTGGATATTTCAGGCAGGAAATCTAGACTTAAAAGATTTTGGCACCACAATTAACAAGCAGATCATGTGATCTAATAAACACACAGAGCTTTGTGTCCAATAAATTCTCATATTCAAAAAATTCATAGTAGCATTATTCATCATAGCCAAGATATTGAAACCAAATGCCCATCAACTAGGAAATAAACAAAATGTGGTATACTCATACAATGAAACACATTGTGTCACAAAAGAAATGAAATACTGATACACATTACACTATGAATGATCCTTGAAGAGATTATGCTCAGTGAAAGAAGGTAGTAAAAAATTATAACTGGACAAGGAGATCCACTTAAAGCAGTATAGTTTCCAGAAGCTGGGAAAAGGGGTAAAGAAAAGTGCCTGCTACAAAGTTTTCTTTGGAGATGAAAATATGCTGGAATTAGCTAGCTAGTGGTAATCACTGTACAACATCTGAATAACTAAAAATCCCTCAATTCTACATTTTAAGAGGATTGTGAATTATAGCTCCTTCAAAATCATACATACAGTCTTAAAAAGAAATCTAAGCTAGGCATGACTATGATGCCTATAATCCAAGCACTTTAGGTGGCTAAGGCACGAAAATCACAGGTTTGAGCTTAGTCTAGGCAACACAGTGCATGTCTCAAAACTTAAAAAAAAGAAAAAGGACTAAGGATATAGCCCAGCGCAAGGTGCTATGTTCAATTCCTAGTATTGCCAAGAAGGGGAAAAAAAGACAAAGAAATCTAACATTCACAAAAACGCATTCAAAGCCAGGTGCCAGGTGGGATGGCACACATCTGTAATCCCAGCATTTGAAGCTAATGCAGGATGGCCACAAGTTTGAAGACAGTCTGGGGTATACAGTGAATTTAATGCCAGCCTGAACTATATAGTGAGACACTGTCTCAAGAAAACAAATAGTAATAATAATAGTAGTAATAACTATTATGTCAGTTATCCCCGATATGATCAAAGGAGTCAATCCAATTTCATAAAAATGTGGTCAATTTTAAAAAATTTTATTGGTACATTTTAGATAGACATAATAACATTCACCATGGGGAGTATGTATCTGTACATGGTATGTCTTGCTTCCTTTTTTTCTCATTTCCCTCCCTTCAACCCTTCTTCCCTTGCTTATTTATGAAAGCTTTGTTTCCCTTTTTTTCTCTTTTTTCTTGTGCTTTCTTTCCTTTCACCCATCCCCCTCCCTTGTTCCCCTTCTCATTTGAGCATTTTCTTCTCATTTCCCAATATCTGTTACACATTTTGGTCCTTACTTATACTTTCGATTTCTCACACCAGAGAAACAATGTAGTATTTAAACATACTCAACAATTTTTTTGTACTTGTTGATTTAACACACTAATTATAAAATGGTTAAGAAAAAACCAAGGGTCAGGTATGATTAATTCAACCAAAGAATTATAAAACCAAAGAAAATGAGGAAGGAATAATAGTATGGTCCAGAAATAAACTGGCCTATAAACAGAATAAAATAGAAATAGACCTATAAACACATAAAAAGGAAAATACAGTACTGACATGACACTATGCATAAATGCAGAGAGGATGATGTTGGTTATGCTGAAAAAAACATAGATTCCTATCTCATAAAAGACACACACACAAAAAAAATAATGCCAGCTGCATTAGTTTTATATATGAAAAAAAAAAACTACAAAAATATGAGAGAATAGTTTTATAATCTTTGGGCAACATGATTTTCAGAAACAAAACACGAAAGAAAAAAAATCACAAAGTCAAAGGTGGATTGTTTTGTTTGAGACAGAGTCTTACTAGGTAAGTTAAGACTGGCCTTGAACTCATTTTGTAGCCCAGGCTGGCCTTCAACTCACAAAGATCCTCTTGCATCAGCCTCCCAAGTGCTAGGATTACAGGTGTGCATCACCATGCTCAGCAAAACTGGATAAAAATTTTTTTTTAACTGGATAAATTTGATTTAAAATTTTTAAAATTTCTGTTTATCAAAAGAAATTGTAAAAAAGGAACTGCTAATGTAGCTCACTGGGAAAGTATGTATTTAGCATGACAAGGTCCTAAGTTCTACCTCTAGCACCCCTTCTCCAAATTAAGAAACACAACAGAAGATAAATAAAGCATATATAATTGAAAAATAACATCAAAAATATTTATAATGTTTCAGAACTGAGTATAAACATGAAAACTCAGGAAAACATGGGCAGAAGATCTAGGCAGACACTTTAAAAGTTCACAATAGGGGCTGGGGATTTAGCTCAGCGGCATAAGCGCCTGCCTTGCAAGCAGGCAGTCGTGAGTTTGATCCCTGGTACCGACAAAAAGAAAAAAGACAAAAAAAAAGTTCACAATCATGAATATTGCCTTTTTACTAATAAAAAATTATCCATTCCAATCAAACAGAAAGCACTACTCACCTGCCAGATTGATAAATATTAAAAATCTGGACAATTGGGGCTGGGGATTTAGCTCAGCGGCATAAGTACCTGCCTTGCAAGCAGGCGGTCGTGAGTTCGATCCCTGGTACCGATAAAAAGGAAAAAGACAAAAAAAAAAAAAAAAAAAAAAATCTGGACAATTATCAAATCAGGTATCTTTCAAATTTGATGCTTTCTTACCTTATAATAGGCCTTTGCATTGTTGAAAAGCAGCTGGAAGTCAGCTGTCAGCAGATTAACATCATCATACTCTTCCATTTTTAGTTTTTGTTGGATTTTCATCAAGTCAATGGGCTGAGAAACCACTTCATAATAGTCAGGCTGATTTCTGTTATAATTTAAATGTTTTTAATGATATTAATCCAAGGTGTATAAAAACTAGTTACATTTAAAAACTATCTGTGGTAACATCCAACATTCCAAGTAATAGACCAAATTACAATTTGCTGTAAGACTTACTCCCATCATTTTAACTACAAGAGAGTAACAAATGCAAAACAGATATATTCCCATTTCAAAATACATATTAGTGATCTAAAAACCTAAACTCACATCTGTGATAGGCTTTTATATGCTAGGTATCTAAGGACTACGGTGCCAGCCCTAAAGCCTTGTCAATGCTACCTTTTATATATGAAGATAAAACGCCTTTCATGGTGTTCAAAAGTGGCTCAACACCGATACGTGTTTCACAGCTCTTTATAAACTTACCAAATTTTTCTCCAGTTAGTGATCATATATTTTCTAAGTGCCATCAAGTGCCTATACTCATACTACCATAATAACAATTACTAAGGTTAGAAAAGAGAAAATAAAGCTTTTTGTTTATGGAGTTTACCAAAATGAAAAGGTACAAAACACTGTGTATCTACTTTTAACCAAAGTATTTTTTTTTAAAATAAAATGTATAGGAATGATAAACACAAAAATCAGTAGAGTGATTATATCTAGGAGTGGAGGAAAACACCATGAAGAACTCTGAACATTCTTATAATGATAATTTTTTTCATTTCCCAAGATAATTTTTTGGGTCTTGGATTCATGGATGTTTATTATTCTTTTTGGTTTTCATCAGAGTTCCACAAAACAAACCTTCTGGAGAATGATCTAAATAACTCTTCCTAAATAATTTTTTCAATTCTCTCATTGGATTTTTAGTTTCCTTCTGGATGTAGGAGATAAATTATCACATACAAAGAACGTCATAGTTATTAAGGATTTAATGTTTCTTGGGACCTTGGCAGAGATATGCAATAGCCATTCTTTTAGTGTGTATATTAAAAAATTTTTAAAATTTTATTCTGACATAAAGTATGAAAGAGAAACACAAAGAGCTTTTTTTAAAAAACCACTTGAGTAAGCTCTGACATGACATTCTACCACCCTTGATGTTTTATTTCCTACAATACAAACAAGGACCACAATTCAACCATCCAAATCAAGAAATAAATTTTGATATAGTGCCATCTAATCCTAGACTGTTCATAACTGGCCTGCTGTTCCTAACTTGTCCTTCACAACAAAATAAGTGCAAAACCACATGTTGCATTTATTTGCATTTTCTGGTTCTTTTTATTCCGAAATAATATTTTTGTTAAACTTGATTTTCATGGTCATCACTCTTTTAAAGATTAGGGCCCAGTTATTCTGTAGTCTCTTTCAATGAGTTTTTCTGCCTTTTGGATGATTAAACTCATATTATGCTGTTTTGGCAGAAGCATAAGAGGGATGCTTATGCTTATCTCACTGTACCCTATCAGGTGGCACATGACTTTGCCTTGCTCCATTACTAGGCAAGTTAACTTATTTTTTCTCCTGGCACTGGGGGTTGAACCCAGGGCATTCACACTAAGCTATATCCCCATTCCGTTTCCTTTTGAAAAATTTTGATATAGGGTCTTGTTAAGTTGCTCAGGTTGGGCTCCACTTGCAATCCTCTTGCCTCATCTTCCTAGAGTGTTACATTATAGATGTGCACACCACACCAGATTGATGATGTTAACTTTATTTATTTTTTAAATTTTTTTGGTACCGGGGATCGAACTCATGACCTCTCACTCACCAGGCAGGTGTTTATGCCGCTGAGCTAAATCCCCAGCCCAATGATGACGATGTTAACTTTAATCAGCTGATTACAGTGTTTCAGCCATGTTTCTATACTGATCAACTTACTCATCTCTGCTTTATATTTTATAGCAAAGTGCCTTCAAACAGCTGATTTCTCATCATACTTTAATTCATTCATTTATTTATATCGATATGGGCTCTTGGATTTCTATTTTACCAGGGAGGTTAAAAACTTACTTGATAATTATTCTGATGCTCAAACTGCTCCAGGTTTGGCCAGTAAGAGTTCTTTTCAGACAGCTTCTCTTTTCTCTCTTGTCTCTGTCTCTCTCTCTCTTTCTCTCTTTATACTAGGGATTCAATTCATGACCTCGAGCTTCTCTTTTCTTTTTCTTTAAAAGTTTCCATTTTTCTTGTCCTTCTGACATGTTCCCATCACCCTCTGAGCACTTTATTACTTTATGGAACCATACAACATTCTATCCTCATCTTGTATTTTCCTATCCTCAGGCCTTGAAATCAGTTCAAGGAACTCTGGTTCCTTTTATCATGGTAAATGGCATTTAAAAACCAAGATATGAGTACAAGGTGTGCTTACTTTACCTTGGAGTTGTTCCCAGGCTGCCTCAATGGACAGAGCTAGTCAATATACATATGCTTATAACAGTGTATATTGGAAACCATGAATTCACATCAGTATGAACAATTTCAATTCAACACAGTATTCACTCCGTACACAGGGCTCAATCCAGTTTTCTTTCCCTACTTGCATATTCCTTATCAGCTAAAGATAAGCCTGGCTCCCATTATCTATAACATATTTACATGTGTGACTAGTTTCTCGTATGCTCTCAGTTTTCTCTTTGTGCCATCCTATTACCAGCCTATCCTGATTTCCTCAACCTATTCAGGCCCTGACTTTCTCCTCCAAACTAGACCATACTCTGGTGTGGATGCCCTTCTTACACCCCTCTCAAATTCTCACATTCTACAACAGAAAACTACCACCACCCTTCTCCAAACACGGACATCCTCTTTCTTTCTCTACTTAGGCCAAAATCCTGTACCACAAAACCCACCTACATGACCATTTCCCTACCATGCTCAGGCTCTGACACGCCATGGTGCAACACTACTGTCTACCTGCTCCCCTCCCCATTTCCAGGAATCCTTCCTTCCTGCTACCTCTTGTCATCCATGCAGACACCCATCTTGTTCAGCCTCGCCTAGTGACTTTTGAAATGAATTCTTCAGGAAAGAAAGAAGAAATTTTTACAAATGTATATCATCTATTTATGGTTTAAGTAAATTATAACATTAAGCCTGAGGAGATAAAAAGGGTATTCCATCTGCTATTCAAAGAAAGCATAGGAGCATACCCAAGATACCTCTCTTCATGAGAATCCAATGAAGTGACTATATTGGGCTACCAGATTTTGCTACCATGGTCCTCACATTTTCAGAATTATCAGAGACAAAAGGAAGATAAGGATACTGAGATACATGACCAAAGGTACGATTGTACCTCTGCTTTTCAAGTATAACAGTTTTATTTTTTTCCATTTAAACATACACACAGAAAAACAGAAGTGAAAACTGTCACTATGGTCCAGTTAATGACATTATTAGTATTTTTATGAAGCTTCTTTTAGACTTCTAGGTCCATGTGTGTGTGTGTGTGTGTATACACACATATATATATGTAAACAAAATTTAATTAATTTGTATAGTACATATTCTTTCATAATGGCTTTTCTCTTTTCCTAATAGGTGAGGGTGCCCTAACACAACATGACTGCAAAACAGTCATAAGCACGTTATAGTTTAAACCAGAACAGTGAGAAATACCAGCCCTGATGCACAAAACCTGCTCAACCACCTCTTTCTTTATCTCAGGATGACACATTCTAAATTGTTTTACTGGCTACTGAAGAGCATATTCTCTATTCTACTATAGCTAGGTTCCCAGCCAATAAAAGAGCTTAAGTGGGGCCAGGGATTTAGCTCACTGGCATAAGTGCCTGCCTAGTAAGGTCTTGAGTTTGATCTTGTGTACAAAAAAAAAAAAAAAAAAGAGCTGAAGGGTGCCAAAGCCAGGTCATGCCTTTCACATGTCTTCTTTTTCTTACTAGCTGGTAGGACAGCTGTGTTGAGTCATCTCAAGACCCCTCACGCACAGGTGATACCACAAGGACAACAGAAAAAATAAGTACTTGGGCCCTGAGGACTTCACAAACTTTTGTGCAAGAGAAAGGAAGTTTTCTTTTCAGCCACAGTTAATACAGATGTCTTAGTACAAGCAGCTAATAAAGTGAGGTAAGAGATTCATAAAACGTGTATTTCTAAGCAATATACATGTCTTCTATAGAGGGGCAGTGATGCCTTGGGCACAAGGCTCACATTTTCAAGACTGCAAGATGAAAGTACTCCAGAACCCAAAGTCTGTACCCTTTGCCCCAGGCTACTAAGACTGCTGCTGGAAAGGAGGCAGCAGATGGACACACCTTCCACAGAGGGGTTTCCTGTACTCTGGTCTGATGTTCTTCAACACTACATAATGATTAGAAGACAGTCTTCATAAGAAGACTTAAGTCTGAACACTGATTATCTTTAGAAATTCTGTGAACTTGTGTAAGTTCTTATCAGAAAACTATGATAGTACATCCAGTTTAAATAACATATGAACTGGATACAGTACTGCATATAACACGTGATTAATAATAAACACAGACTTTTATTATTCCATGTCAATTAAACCATGGCTTTCAAGACTACTAGTGACAAAACAGTTTAAACCTGGAGACAGGCCTGGGGATGTAGCTCAATGGCTCAAGTGCTTGCCTGGTGAGTATGAGGTGTGAGTTTGATCCCTAGTTTAAAAAAAAAAAAAATCCGGGAGACAAATTACTTTATTTTTAAAACAGCTCTTCCTTTGTGGCCATGACTAAATTATAGGGCTTTTTAAAATTCAGGTCAATAATGCTATATCTATCTGTTCTTTGAGGTGAGAAATACGCTCATCTTGGAGGTTGTTGGCCACCCGCTCATTTTAGAGGTTGCTGGCCAACTACTGCAGCATAAACAATCACAAGTCAGTCTTGTTAATGTTACTAGCTCTATTAGTTTCCCATAGCTCCCGTAACAAATTAACAACAAACTTAGGGGCTAACCATTTATCATTTTAGTTCTAATAGTTGGAAATCCAAAATGAGTCTTAATGGATTAAAATTAATGTGCTGCTCAGAGGTTTTAGTGAAGAAC